TATGGAAAAAATTATAAGTGATGAACTTTCCAACTATTTACTTGCTGGAAAATTTATCAATGATACTCAACATGGATTTCTTAAAAATCGTTCTTGCATGACATGTCATTTTGACTTCTTTAATTTAGTCTATTCTCTACGTAGCCAAGGATATCTAGTCTTAGTGCTATATCTGGACATTTCTAAAGCCTTTGACATGGTTAGCCACCAACTTCTTATAGGTAAGCTCGCATCTTATGGGGTTCAAAATCCTTTGCTTGCTTGGCTTGATTCCTTTCTCAGCAATCGACATCAAATAGTTAAAATTAACTCTTCATTGTCTAACGCTGTCCCTGTTAGAAGTGGTGTAATACAAGGTAGTGTCTTAGGTCCTTTGCTCTTTTTAGTGTTTATCAATGATATTTGTGAAAGTTTTTGTGTCGGTAAGCCCCTTCTATATGCAGATGATCTTAAAGTAGTATATTCATTTTCTCCACATGAGCTGAAAAATATGCAAAATTGCATCAGCATGGAGCTTAACAAGGTAGCACAGTGGTGCTTAAAATGGCAACTGGAGCTTAATACGGCTAAATGTGGATGGATATGCTTCGGCGATACATCACTCAACCTAGACATTACCATAAATGGAGAAGTGTTATCTAGGTTACATACAGTAGTAGACTTAGGACTTAGATATTCCCAAGACTTGTCGTTTACAGAACATATATTAAAACAGACCTCTAAGTCTCAACGTCTAATAGGTTACATAACTCGAAATCTTTACAACACTGAGTCACGTATTCTAATGTACAAAGTTTGTGCTCGACCTCTTCTAGAATATTGCACGTTTATTCTTAGCAGTGCGCTCATAAAGGATAAATTAAGGCTGGAATCAGTACAGAGACGATTTACACTTCGTATTCTTGGAGCTGATTGTACCTTAACTTATAATTCTAGATGTAATAAACTTGGGCTAGACCCTTTATGGAGGAGGAGACTCAAACTAAATCTTATCTTTTTCTTCAAACTACTTCATAAACTATCGTTTACATCCGATCACGCGATTCAATATGCAGAAACCTCTCATTATGACATCCGTAATTCCTTGGCACTAGTGAAACAAACTCATTCTAAATCATCTCTTTATATGAATTACTTCACCTGTAAATTTTCTAGACTCTGGAATAACCTACCACAATCTATCCGAAAGATACAATCACTCCCATTATTTGTTCGCTGCATCGATGCATACTGCTCCTCTGAAAATGCATTGAATGGTCTAGCGCCTTTAAGTGTATCTCATTCCACAAGTGATATTTTAGGAACCTTAAATGTTTAGCCATCTTTATTAGTGAATTCCCTAAGTAAAACCACCCACTTGCTGTCAATATGTTAACACCGCCCCTAGCAAGTTTAACTAATTTGAATAACATCAACAGTATATCACTGTGTCACATGACACACGCATTTAGGTAGACCTGATTGATATATTTTGGTAATTACTTTTTTGTTGTTCCGTGCTCTGTGTTTTCGTTTTAATTTCTCTAGTTGTAGATAATTATCATTATTTCGATCTGGCACACGAATTGACCTTAATTACTTCGTTCATAAATCAACAGGCTGTCCATTTAAGAAATATTAAAAATTCCCGGCTGATGCATTGGATCGCTGTAATATATGTACTACTTAAACAACTACTGAACTAGTATACTTAAAACTTTCTTTTATCACATGTTTGTTCTGCACGTCTAACGTTACTGTTTATATCAAATTGATCATGCCTGTAAACTGGCGTGAATTCTGTAATTATTATTTTCAGAATATAAATTATTATATTCTGTGGAATAATGAACATAAACTGAAATTCCTTAAAATATTTACTTCTTACTCTCAAACTTATTCATTACATGAAAAGGTATCGCTATTTCATCCATTACCATGATTATATAATTATTGAGTGATTTCACATGACTGCTTATTCTAAAAAAAGGTCAGAGTGATAAGTAGATTTTTGTTTTCTAGAAGAAAAATCTTCAAATTTGATTCACTTGGTAGTTATTCCTTTTTTTCTACTATTTCTTTAATAAATCTTTTCACTACCATTTTGAAATAATAAAAATAAATGAAACTAGGTTAGATATTTGTTATTGTCATTATTATTGTTACTATTATTATTATTATTTCTATTATCTTGGGAATTTTCATTCAAAAGGAACATTTATCTTTTTTTAAAAAACAGAAAAGAATATAAACAAATCAAATATAAATTACAATCAATAACAAGTAATTACAAAAAAAAAGTAAAATACAACTAGAAAAATAAAGTGAATTATAACCAAAAATTCTTATCTACTTGATCCATTAACTTTCCTCATTCATCATAATAACTATTACATTTGATCCAATCAAAATAATTTAGTGTTTATATATTATATTAATATTATTTAACTGAATGGAAAATAACATTTATTTAGGGTTTCTTTCATAATTTACCCATCTATTCATTTATTGATTTTATTTTTTTTGACGGTTAGTTATTTTTATTTTTTTAGAAGTGATATACTTCTTTTAAGATATATATATATATATATATAATGTTTATGGGTAAAGTATTTAATATTTTCTTTGGTTGGCAATGAATACTGACAAAAATCTTTTGTACAAATCAATTTAGCCTATTGAATAGATCAATATATCTATCTTTATTTATTTATTTATTTGTTTACAGTAAATAATTTTTTCTTAAAAATGATAAGGGTTTGATTGAAAATCTATTTTATTAACATTTTGATGATACTTTTAACAGGTTATTTTCTAACAAGACAGGTCAAGGCACAAGTAACTCGATCTTGGCATTCCTGGTTATTCGGTTGATCATTTTGAGTGACTTATATTATGCTATCGTCATTTTCCAATAAGATTCCATTCCATCTCTCATAGCTATAGGGCTTCGTGACTCTTATTTTCCTTCCTTTTACCGTATACAAATTAGCAAACGATTTCATTAATATTTTCATATCTCGTATTTGTTCGTTGTCTTACACCATCCGTTTATACTGAACACTATTTCATGATTTTTACACTTACCACATAATTTTATTAATGTTTTATGACTACTAATTTAAATTCTATTTATCCAAGTTTGATTTATCCCGCATGTTGAACAATTGATTAGAACTTTTATGATTCTTATCACTACTTGTACACCTGTCTTCTCACAATCAATTTTTTTACCTGTTATCTGTAGTTATACTATCTATTTTATTGTAATCATTGGCATATAAACAACTTGAATTGGTTAAATGGGAAAATGACTGATTTCGATTATCACTTTTTATGATCAATATATATATAGTCTTTTTTTAATAAAGTTTCTAAAAAAAGGATAAGTTCTGACAAATTATATGGAAATAATGCTTTCTGTCTCGAGACAGTATTCAATCGTTGACTGGATCCAACTAAGTTTTGAACAACTTCTAATTATACGAATAAATCATTTTATTATGTCAAGTTAAATTTATTCACTAGTAATTAAATCTTTCAGCTCATCTGATAAATTAGACTTCCTAAATCATTTAGAGAGAGAAAGACATAGACATACCATATACTGTACATAATTTCAACCGCTACATTTTTCTTAGACAGTAGCATCTAAATGATTTTCTATCTGAGGTAGACAACTGACCAGTTATCATAATGTAATAATTTAAAGTATTGTAAATTATAAATAGATAGATAGATTTTAGGTACTACAGTGAAAGTTGAATTTTGTAGTTTATTGTTAGATGTTCCTTTTATATCATGTCAATAGATTGAAGAAAGATAATATCTATTGTTGTTTATCTTTATTCTTCGATGATTGATACTTAATCCTTAGTGATTCACAAATATATATATATATATATATATATATATATATATATTGTCATCACTTATTAAATCTTATTCAAATTTCAGTTTTTATTGCATTTAAGTAGAAATTTCATTCTTTATCTAGGATTAAACATTAGAGTGTTGTAATCGAAATAGTTAAAACATTAATCATACATTATATTTACAGATTTATGTATACATCTATCTGATATGAAATGAACTAGACAATTACAAACAATCTAATAAAAGAATTCAACCAATATTTCAATTTTTTCTCATCCCTTAGGACAAAAAACTGTATTTCCTTTTCCTCAAAAGATTATACAATAATAGATTGTTATTTATATGAGTTGGAAATTTCAAATTTCAAACAAGCTTAATTCAAATTTTTTCAGAAGGGATTTTGTGGAGATTTTAGAAATTTCACTGGTTGAAATCATGGGTCAATTGAAGCTAGACCACTATGGAAAACCTTGAAGCACTGAACGGTCGTTTCGCCTTAGTATGGGACTCATCGGTAGTGCGCATTTGTTTTACCTTTTCAAATACTTAGATTAGTGTTGAGGTCAAAATGTTTAGATTAAAATAAAATCTATTTACAATAAACATTATTACTATATTTCAATAGACTATATATCTATTGCTATGTTTCATCGAATTCTCATTGCATAACGTCATTGATCATTATCATTTCGTTCTAATAGAAACAGTTATGTATTACATTTTACATTTAAAACCTTCATACCTAATGTATCTGATAAAGTTATGAAGTAGTTAATTTCAACAGTTGAGATCATGAGTCAATTGAAGCTAAACCACCATGGAAAACCTGGAAGTAGTTAATTAATAATAATATCCAACAGCATATACCGAAAATGATTATAATAATGAACATTTTGTGCGTACAAATACATGTATATTCTCATTCATAATAAGTCCAATTAAATTAAGATAGGGGATAAACTTGTTGTTACAAGATTACTTTTGTGTTTCTAAATTATTTTCTATGGTTTTATTAATAATCATTAATATCATTACTGTCATAATTGTTATCGAATTAAAATACATCAGTGGTTTTATTGATATTCTCTGATATCGATTCTTTTATTTATTAATATAATATTTGATTTCGTTAACCCTTTTTTTAGTTCGTGAATTACTTAGCAGTGGAGTCTGTCCAGATGTAGCCAACGAGGATGGATTAACAGCATTACATCAGGTAATCTATTTATAAGTTGAACATTATAAAAAGATTAGTCAACAATATATTCCTTATTGATTAACATATTACTAAAGGGATTAATAATTATAAGTTGATTGTTTATCAAATAAACCAATTGTGATTTTATTCATCTAACAGTCTACCCCCAACTAATACTTAATAATACTAAGATAATACGGCTTAAAATTAAATCCTAGCTACTAAATACTGTGCATTACATCATATTCCTGGTAATCTATGTGGAAACGACTGTAATAAAGTGACGAGTTTATGCTTTATATTTTATTTCGGTAGTCTACATCAATGTGTTGCACTTGTGAATCTGTCGATTTAATATCTGTCAACAAATATGCTACAACAGTAACCTGATTTTTGCTAGTACAAATGTGTAAAATCCAATTAAATTATATTGATTAATCTCATATTTCAGATTATGTAACATTCATTTTAAATTGCTGTGAGTTTATCATCAAAGTTCACCAATCTACAAACTTCTACTTTATTTCCGATCATTGAAATGAGTCTTATTTACATTTATTATACTAGATAAACTTAATAACTAAAACAACTCTTTTGTAATAGGTATTCAGTTTGTTAGTTATTAGTTGGAACGACATCTGTCTACTTAGTTTCTCATACAAATAGAAATATCACTTATTTGATAGAAAGTGTCCGTTATGTATATACAGAATGGTAGTGGGGACAGGGTGAATTGTAACTATCAAACAATTCTATTCGATCTTGTTTTTTTTAAAGTGTTTCGCTAAAACTAAATTATAAATATCCAGTTTTCTGAAATTATTCGTTATCAGTGTTGTAAAATTGGCAAAACCACGAATTATGTTTAATAATGTATAAATTGAGGAAGTACTGTTAAGTATTGGAAAATCGAACCTGATTATATTTCCTGTTTACTAAAATTAGAAGATAACTGGAAAAGTAAACATATATTCTAGTGTAGTTACATACAGAAACACTTACAAACACTATTACCCTAAAATTTTTAGTGCGTAATATTTCCTCTGTTACTATCACCGAATAATTCTGTGTAAAGCCATCATAATTATTTATCATAATATTCGACTTTATCACCTTCATCTATTAACGAAAATAACTGAGAAAAACAATTCAGAGTTTGAACTGACTCAATTTTAGTTATATTTTGTCTTATTCATAAATCAAAATGTTTGCATATGATTGTTTTTTAACCCAGTTTAGTTAAAAGTACTATTTTGAGTACTCTTATGTATGATATTTTTATACTATTATATAACCTCTTAGATTTATAGTATTTTAAAGAGTATTTTTCATGATTATATATTATGATTAGTAGTAGTTGAGAGGTAAAACGTATGAGAAAATCAGAGTCTTACGTCGTTTAGCCCGTCATTTATCACCTGAAAAAATCGTTAGTCAAAATACCAACGTATGCAACCTTTGCTTTGTGTCAAAGCAATGACGCGTTAACCAGCACAAGCAGCCTAGAGTCAATTCTGAGTTATTGTTGGTTCTTCTTGTTCTGCTATGCCCGTTGAGTCAAGAACACAATCATAGATTCTACTGTATGAATCATGTATCTAAGACATAAACAGTTTATATACGAGCAAACTAGACCGCATCACACCATAAAATAAAAATGACAATTATACAAGATCAAGCCAAAAATGATTATGTGCCTGAGATACTACAATAAATAAATCGGCAATAAGTTAGGAATGGTAAGTCGTATCGCAATAGCCAGTAAACCAAATAAAAGAATATATATATATATATATATATATATATATATATATTGTTACTTAATAATTATCCAATAAGGCTATATGTAATAGTATCTCATAAATAATCCCTAGCAGTTACCATCCATTTGTTGTTTGTTAGGATACAACACAGAGGAAAGGAAAAAATAGAACCTGTTTATGCGCATGAAACATGATATTTGTTGTTTGATCAGTGCAATAAATAAGTGAATTGAGGTCGTTAAACAAAAATTTCTCATATATCAATCCCTCTCTGTTTTAAAGTACTTTTCGCGTGAATCAATGAATATATTTTATGTTTGTTTCCAATATCCAAATATTAATACATATAAATAGTTTATCATTACTGAATTCGGTGTCAGTCAATTCGTGTTTTTTTTCTTTTTGAATAAACGAATAACTGATTTTTCTCTATCTAGTTCTATATTTCAGAAAAATATTTCAGTTTAGATTCCATACAAAACGTTCAATTGCGTTTCATTGTGATTCAGAACATCTAGCTAGCTATCATGAAGATATGTTTATGACAAGACGTTAATATTTAGTAAATCCAGAAATAATACACAGTATTCTGTATTATTTAATCTATCGATTTTTGATTTAAAGTTTACAAAAAAAAAAGCACAGAATCTGACAATTAAAAAAAAGTGTACTTTCAAAATGAATAAATTTCTAAAACACAAAATTAGTACGTATAATACATAAATTTAAAAGGAATAAAATGATTTGTGAACAGTAAACATATGTAGCTAACTTTGATAACATAATACATTGATTTGAGTAGGAAACAAGTAATGTTTATATCTATGTTATTGTAGTTAAAAGTACCACAGTAATTCGATAACTTACGCGGAAAAATAATTAAAGTTAGACAAATTGAATGTAATGGCATAAGAAATATGAATCAGATATTTTACATTCTTTAAAAGATCTTGATATTTATCATTCTGTGTCATATGTTGTGGGACGTAAAAGCTTTCTTTTCAGTGAATAAACAGTATACTTGATTTTCTGTATAGTAACCAAGTTTCAGTCATTTTTCAAAATCATGTTTGACACACTTTTATCCTTCATTGTTGTTATGATTACTAAAAAGTTCTGCTTTATTCAAATATAAGATTGCATATATTCACTAATATTAAATTCTATGGTAAAAAACTAGACAGTTATTTAGTGCATTGTTTTTCTTTTGATTTACATAAGACGCCAGTATATAATGATAATTACTTTCAAAGCGACATAATTCTAAAAGAGAAAAACAATATCGCATTTCAATTTGATAACCAAAGAAACTTATTGTATTTTCGAAAAAAAAACCAAAGACAGGTTAGAGAAGGCAATTTCTTCAGTAATATCATCAACTTAGCCTGCACAATTAGAATGAAGAGTGGTATTGGGTCATAAGTTACACGGGAATACCAAATATCAAAATGAGGTTATGCAATGCTATAATGGCTAATGAAAATAATGTTAAGATACAAATAGTTGATTAATGATAGATAACTGTTCACTTGATGAATGTTATGAACTGAATAATAGTAGTTAATAAATGATTATAGCAAAACTAGAATATCATCAATATAATAGATTGCTAAGTATGGAAGATAGGCAGAGAAGTTAAGACCACAGTAGGATGAGTGATTGAACATAGTACATTTGTACAAATAAGTTAGTCTTCAATTGGTCGGTTTCTAAAGCTTCTGTTTTAAGTATGTTTAAAGTAACACAACTTCCTTTTTGATATTTTTAAACAATTCATTGTCCAATTTCAATTTATTTTTTAACAGACTGCCATTTACATATATTATGTCATCAAAAATGTGACTTAATAGCCTTAGTAAGCAATATCATTGGAAAGAAAATTCCCTCTTCTGAATTGATTTTAATTCTACACAGATGAGATCTATAGCGTCATCGTGACATTTTTACTAATTGTCTATAGACTAATGAAGTTTAATGAATTCGGAAGATGTAATTAGGCATAGGTTAGACAGTATCATAGATGATAGTACCAGTTGCGTAATGAATAAACAAATGATTGTTGGATTCCAATCTAAATAGAAACAGTTCAGCCTGGTAGGTAGTTTTATTCAAGCGATAAGTCTCGAAAAAGATAAAAGTCACTTCCTAAGTCTCACTTTTGTCCCCTTATTTACTCAGAAATTTTACACAGTTTGCCATTCCTGAATGATGTACAATTGTTTCTCACTCAATTTATCAAACGTTTTCCACAACCACACTGCATATTATGAAAATAGAAGATACTCATTTGAAAAGAAATATTGTCACGAAATATCTCTACTTTATATTAATTTACCCGCCCCTTTTTTAGATTTTTCGCTTGTCATTATTTCTACCTATTAGTTCAAGATAATTAATTTGATGAGAAAAAAACTATAGTTTAAATTATTGTTTTATCATGCGAAGAATTCTCTTCTAAACAAATAATAATAAAAAAGTCCTTGAATGTGCTTGATGTGAATATTGATCAGTATCGAATGAAAGAATTAAGGAAATGAAATATGACATATAATCTCTTTTGTTTAATTGTACTGACCTAGTAACTCCTAAGACATTCTGAAAATAAAATATAGTTTTTGAAAAATGTTTCAAGACACAGGAATTCAACTAATGTTTACTATCATTAGGGTCTGCCTGATATCTTTTGTTGTTATGGCTTAAATTCAAATGAAGCTGTAGACGATTATTCAGAGTAAATATTGTAGTGAACATTATTCAACGAGATTCAAACAGCCAATTATTGAACTAAGTACTTAAGTGGTTGATGCAATGACGTTTGAAGCGAACGGTACTGGGTTCGAGTCCCGTTATGAACATGAAAGCTGAGATTCAAGGTCATCCAGTTGATGGGTCCCGGACAGGATGAAACACGCATCCTGAGTCTTACTGCTAGGCACTAGTAATATCTGCTTACATTACTTGTTACTTAAGGCAATATCGAAGCAAGATTTGTTGAAAAAAAACACTGATTAATCACAATCCTAAACATCAGTCTGAAGATTCAGACAAACAATACAAGTGAACATAATTCACTTAAAAGAAAATCCGCATCCAAATATCAATAAATCACTACAGATAGATATCATAAATATTTTGTAGTTCAATCGAAATGAAATAAGTCTAATGATTCATGCAATTATATCAAATTCTCGCTAGATTTATGATGGTTCTTGAATTAAAACATGTTTGTAATCAATCTTACAATCAAAATATAAACACATATCTCTATTATTTCGCCATATATATATATATATATATATATATATGAATTCGTTTTGTTCCCCCAGCTGTATGGTTTGGTTGTGGAGCTTTCATCGTTCATCTGAACGACATCGTCAGTACAAACTTCAAGTAGAAGTTGCATTATTACAAAAGGTTTAATATATTCTATTAATAATTAGTTTGTTAATATTTCGAGTTTATTCTGATAAGAAAAATAGTTATGTAACAATGAATGTTACACATTAATAGTTGGTATGAGTTAAATACATAAATGCTTTAATAATGAAACCAATAGGTATTATGTTGACAAAAACGTTATCGCATATAAAACATTTTACTGTGGTGGGTAAAAGGTCATTTAATTCGATATATATATGATGAGAATCAATATGATTTATGCTCCAATAATTGAGATAAGTATCACCTTCCGTTTATTTGTTTTTACGAAAAGTTTACAAACAACTTTTATTTAAACATTGCAAAAACAAATAAAATAGATTTCCTAGTTACTTTATTAACTTTTATGTTCTTTCGTTTAAAAAAAACAAAAATTTTTTTCAGTGTTGTATTGATAACAATTTGGAAATGTGTCGGTTACTTCTTCGATATGGAGCAAATCCTAATTCTCGTGACACAGAACTATGGACTCCATTACATGCGTCAGCTACATGTCATCATACAGAGATGTGTAAAATTCTAATTGATCAGTAAGTTACAGTTATATTTTGGCTTAATTTTTTTTACGATTTGAATAATTTATGAAGTGGGACGGAAAGGTTTCATAGAGTTAGTTTAAAGCCTTTTGGTTAGATGCACTGAGCAAATTTGTCGTCTTGACTTAAGTGAAGGAAAAAAATCGAGAGAATTATCTTTAATAAATTAATCAACATGAAATAATCTGCATGCCTGAATGTATAACGTGCAAATTATCTTACTTCATTTATAATATTTGCATCACTCCCAGTGTAACTGAATTTCACCATTCAATACTTCCAACCAGAACACATTCCAAAGCATATTACAAAAAAAAATGATCATATTTCCACTGAGATTTTGATGGAGATTGGCTTATTTCAGTTAAGAAGATACGACATCTTTGAAGTTTCCTACCTAAGTCACAAATCGTTTCCGTTATCTCACTTTTATCTGTTAGGTTACGGATAATAGAAAGATAATTTCCCAAACTTATAAGATAGAAAAGAAGTAATTATACAATCAACACTTTATCTTCAGCGATCCTTCAGCTGATATCGACAGTTGATTGAAATATATCTTCGTCGGTATAACCTTGCTGATTTGTTATCCTACACAGTTACAAAAATTAATCATAAGAAGTATTATGTCTTGAGATGCTAAGCAACATCACGTGATATAATGCTTAAACAAAATTCGGATTACTGATTGGTTTGCCGATATCGCTATAATAACCAGTGACCTAGGCATCAATTGACACAGTAACCAATTAACAACAACCAAGACCTTTATGCTTGTTGTCTTCAAACTCCTAATCCATTTCTCAATCAGAAAATGCAAATTAGAAGTAAACTATTTCTCTATGGTGTTCAATATAACCATAACTCAAAACCCATACTTGGAAAGCTTGATCGTATAAGAAACCGTGTTACAAAAAGTCATATCATAAAAGGTAGGGAGCGTAGCAAACAGTATATATATATATATATATATATATATATATATATATATATATATATATATATATATATATATATATATATATGGACAATAAGAATAAATACTGATTATGTGAATCCATTAGCTTTTTTCCAAATATTCTTTTTTACGCAGTAACTAATAAGTAAACTAACACAAATTATAAAATATCTGGTCATGTGTTCGATGAAAATGAAAGCCATTTACTTTACTTTTTATGATACTAAAGTTTGATTGGTTGATTAATGAAGAGGAAAAAAAGAAACAAATTGAAAATAAAATAATTTTTTTATTTGATAAATATTTGTATCAATAGTTGAAATCATGAGTTAATTGAAGCTAGAACACCATGGAAAAGCTGGAAGCACTGGACGGCCGTTTCATCCTAGTATGGGACTCCTCACCAGTGCGCATTGACGACCCCCCGCGAGATTTGAACCCAGAACCTATCAGTGTCGCGTGCGAGCGCCTAACCATTAGACAACTGAGCCGACATCCAACGGTGTTAATGTCTAACCTCAACCAATCCACAAAATTGCGCCGCCGTACACCATTTTCTTCAGCGAGTTACTATCTCACAACAGACCTGATTGAACTCCAGTGGTCACAGCTTCTCACTAGAACTCCAGGAAACTCCTCTTGGAGTCAGTCACTAGTGAGCAGATGATTATTATCAGAAGGGGTTTTGTGGAATCTCGCGGGGGCAGGGTCTTGGATGCACACTGGTGAGGAGTCCCATACTAGGATGAAACGGCCGCCCAGTGCTTCCAGGTTTTCCATGGTGGTCTAGCTTCAATTAACTCATGAGTTCAACTATTAAAATTACTTAAATCTCCACAAGACCCCTTCTGAAACAACTTATATTTTTGTTAAATTTTAGTAGAAAAAAAAGAACACTAGATCAAATAGAAAAGAAAACAGATTAATAGTATTTGACAAATTTTTAAAAATAATATGTTAATATAAACCGAATACATTAGAAGAAATTATTAAAAATGTATTGTCATCAATATTGTGAACCAATAATATTAAATAATATTCTTAAGAAGTGCTTCATTGAATTTATTTGATCCATAGTGATTTTGTTCCCAGATTTAACTTTGTTCTTTTTTGGTGAGTGAATAGTATCATTAGTACACACTTGGAAAGGTGAGATTAAAGTTGAATTAAATGAATATTATATAAATGAAGATAGTTGTTATGAAACTGCAGAAGTAGAATTCGTGTTAGTTCACATTCATCAACAAAGTGTACCTGAAATCTTGCGGAAACTGATAGTCTTAAATGTGTTAAATCAGCATATCCTAAATTCATAGTTTAAGGTGTTGCTATGAACAAGAGCACAGGTGAAGACGGCCGATTTATTATTTCAACACAATCATTACAGAGTTTTTTGGTAAACTGTAAAAACTATACACTGAATACCTTTTTTGCAAATTTCCATCATTCGTTTTTCACATTATGTATGATTCTCCCAATTTACAATTCCTTTCTAGTTCCATTTCTGTTCTCTTCAATTCGATTTTCTTAGACTTCTGCTGCAACATTTTTCGCTTATTTATGTGTCGTACTACTTAAGTTGACAGATATAAATGTGATACACCCCTATATTATTTAGTTATCTAAATAACCACAGAACGTCATAGATAAGGTGTAACTGAAGGTTCGTTACTTAAATCTTGAGTTAGATTAAATTAAATCAATTATTTTCTTCTTTCAATATAGAATACGATTATTAGAATTCCTGCACTAATGCGAAATACTTTTCTGACCTTCGAACAAATTATCGACCTATTTTTCGTAAAATGTACTTATGATCATTTTTTTGTAACTGTGATAACAGAATAAAAGTACTATGGGACAGAGATTAGATAGAGAAATAAAAAATAATGTTGGCAATTAGCTAATTTTTGTTTTATACAAGTAAATATACTTACATTTTTATACTTAATTACATTTTCATAAATAAATACATTCTAGTACAAAACAATAAAATACACATATATATGTAAAATATAAAATTCTGAAAAAAATAAAATCGGATCAAAATATTTTTATATTCCGTTTTTTTCTTTTTTCCTTTCGGAGAATTTTTTTGTAATTTTTTTCTTGAAAATAAAAAACAATATTTTTTTTCTAAAAATATTTTAACTTTGTCAATATTTTCAATGAAATTTATTAATATTTCCAAGTGTAATATTAATGATTATGAATGATCCATTGATGAATGTGAAGTGGTTATTTGTTGTTTAGTATACTCGACTTTCAATCAATTGAATACAAATTCGAATTGTAATTCGTTTATCTTAGCTTGGACAGCAATACCGCTCATAACAAAAATTGTGTAGCTTTAAGCTGAGATGATAAACTTTTTACTTGGTAAATTAGCAGCAGTGACAATAATAATAATAATATGGAGTAATACCTTACCAAGTCATACCATGTACCATTGGTGAAATTCTTAGCCTGTGATACCGGTTAGCTAGTAATATTTTATGTAAACCAATAATTTATTTGAATTTTTATCATCTGTATTGGTGTGTGTTAGTTATTCAAAATTCCTAAAGACGTTATGCATCTGTTGTTTGATTACATTCTATCATCAATAATTTTCCTTCTGGTACACAGTGAACACATTAAGTTGCCAACATCATAACCCTATAAATACGACGATAGTATACATTTACAGATAAGCATGACTGATTGAGGGAAAATGAAAATGTAAACCACTGGATGTTAGCTCAGTGGTCTGAAGGTTAAACGATCCCTAGTAAGCCTGAATATAATAGGTATGGTGATATGTTCCTTCTACTAAGGAACTCTGACGAAACAGCTGTTCAGAACTTCTTGATTTTCAATGATCGTCTAAATAAAGCCAGTCAGTTATATGAAACTGCAAATCGAATTTAGTAGTTTTACTTGAGTTAATATTCAAAGTGTTCTTGATGATTGTCAACTATTTGTTTATCTTGAAAAATTAAAAAAGACAGATCTAATGATAAATACCGGTTAAACTCCTAATATATTTCATTTTATGTTTTTAATCATTTTCTGTAGCGGTGCAGATCTACTAGCTATGAATGTTGATGGTAATATGCCTTATGAATGTTGTATGCCTGGACCAACACTGAATTTAGTAGAAACCGAAATGGATAAAAGAGGTTAGTTTTTTATTGACCTTACTTACTTACTTACGCCTGTTACTCCTCATGAAGGAGCATAGGTCGCTCACCAGCATTCTCCATCCAACCCTGTCCTGGGCAATCCTTTCTAGCTCCGTCCAGTTGTAATTCATCCTTTTCATATCTGCTTCTATTATCCGACGCAATGTGTTCTTTGGCCTTCCTCTTTTTCGCTTCCCTTCAGGATTCCAAGTTAGGGCTTGCCTCGTGATGCAGTTTGACGATTTGCGTAATGTATGTCCTATCCATTTCCATCGTCTTTTCCTAATTTCTTCTTCAGCTGGAAGTTGGTTTGTTCTCTCCCACAGAAGGCTATTGCTGATGGTATCCGGCCAGTGGATGTTGAGTATCTTGCGTAGGCAGCTATTTATAAATACTTGTACTTTCTTGATTGTGGTTGTTGTAGTTCTCCAAGTTTCAGCTCCATACAGTAGAACTGCCTTGACGTTCGTATTGAAGATTCTCACTTTGATATTGGTTGAAAGTTGTTTTGAGTTCCATATGTTCTTCAATTGTAGGAATGCGACCCTTGCTTTGCCGATCCTCGCCTTTACGTCTGCATCTGAACCTCCTTGTTCATCGATGATGCTTCCCAGGTATGTGAAGGACTCTACATCTTCCAGAGTTTCGCCATCAAGAGTGATTGGATTGCTGTTCTCCTGTTGAATTTGAGGACCTTGGTTTTCCCTTTGTGTATGCTGAGGCCTACTGATGCAGAGACTGCTGCTACACTGGCTGTCTTCATCTGCATCTGTTCGTGTGTACGTGATAGGAGGGCTAGGTCGTCTGCGAAGTCCAAATCGTCTAATTGATTCTGAGCTGTCCATTGTATTCCGTGTTTTCCTTCAGATGTCGAGGTCTTCATAATCCAGTCGACCACCAGAAGAAAGAGGAAGGGAGAGAGTAAACAGCCTTGTCTGACTCCAGTCCTTACTTGGAATGCATCTGTCAGCTGTCCTCCATGCACTACTTTGCACTGTAGTCCGTCGTATGAGTTCCGGATAATGTTGACAATCTTCTCAGGAACTCCGTAGTGTCGAAGAAGTTTCCATAATGTCCTCCTATCTACACTGTCGAATGCCTTTTCATAATCAATGAAGTTGATGTATAGTGATGAGTTCCACTCAACTGATTGTTCGACGATGATCCGTAGTGTTGCAATTTGGTCTGTGCACGACCGATCCTTACGGAATCCAGCTTGTTGATCTCGAAGTTGGGCGTCTACTGCATCCTTCATCCGGTTCAGCAACACTCTGTTGAAGACTTTCCCTGGTATTGACAGTAGTGTAATGCCTCTGTAGTTTTCACATTTGCTCAGATCTCCTTTCTTTGGAATCTTGACGAGGTGTCCTTCTTTCCAGTCCATCGGCACTTGTTCCTCCTCCCAAATCTTTTTGAATAGAAGGTAAGCATGCTTGTGGTTGCTTCGATGTCTGATTTCAGTGCTTCAGCTGGTATGTTGTCGGGTCCTGCTGCTTTCCCGTTCTTGATTTGTCTGACGGCCATTCTAATTTCTTCCGTCGTTGGTGGGTTGACATCTATAGGAAGATCTATGTGTGCTGCTTCGATGTCCGGTGGATTCATTGGAGCCGGCCTATTCAGGAGTTCCTCGAAGTATTCTACCCATCTGTTACGCTGTTGTTGAATTTCGGTGATTGGCTTGCCTTCTTTGTCTTTGACCGGCCTCTCTGGTTTACTGTATTTCCCTGCTAGTTTCTTCGTTGTATCGTGAAGCTGTTTCATATTTCCTTCTCTAGCAGCTTTTTCTGCCGTCGTTGCTAGTTCTTCCACGTATTTCTTCTTGTCGGCTCTAATGCTCCTCTTCACTTGTTTGTTTGCTTCTATGTATTCAGCTTGTGCTTGGACTTTCTCTGCTCGTGTTCGGCTGTTGTTAATTGCTGCCTTCTTGTTCTTCCTTTCTTTGATCTTGTCCAGTGTTTCTATAGAGATCCATTCCTTATGATGGTGTTTCTTTAGGCCCAGAACCTCTTGACACGTTGAAGTTAATGCTTCCTTGATGCCTTTCCAGTTGTCCTCCATACTAGTTTCTTCTTCTTCAGTAGATCTTGTAAGGCTTGGAACCTGTTGTTGAGAGCTATCTTGAATTCATTGAGTTTGTCAGTATCTCGAAGGAAGGCTGTATTGAACCTTTGTAGTGCTGTTTGTCCACTTGTCCAGTTCTTTTTTAGCTTCAGTTTTAAATTGGCTACAACTAGGTGGTGATCTGAAGCTACGTCAGCACCTCTCCTGGTTCTCACATCTTCCATTGTCCTTCGGAATTTTTTGTTGATGCAAATATGATCTATTTGGTTCTCTGTAGTGTGGTCCGGTGAGATCCATGTAGCCTTGTGTATACGCTTGTGTGGAAATATTGTGCCTCCTATGACCAATTTGTTGAATGCACACAGATTTGCAAATCTTTCTCCATTTTCGTTTCTTTCTCCCAGTCCATGTCGTCCCATAATATCTTCATATCCAGTGTTGTCTATTCCGACTTTGGCATTTAGATCTCCCATCAGAATAGTTAGGTCCTTTCTTGGCATTTCTCAATGATTGACTGCAGCCGCTCGTAGAACTGATCTTTAATGTCGTCGTTGCTATCATTGGTGGGTGCATAACATTGGATAATATTCATTAAGATCCCCTCCTTCTTTGTTTTGAATGATGCTTTGATGATTCTGGATCCGTGAGACTCCCATCCTACAAGTGCATTTCGTGCTACTTTGGACAGCATAAGAGCGACTCCCTGAGTGTGTGGAGCATTGTCCTCTTCGTGACCGGAGTATAGCAGCATCTCTCCCGTAGCTAGCCTTTTCTGTCCAGCTTGGGTCCAGTGGGTTTCGCTGATTCCCAGTACTGCTAAGTTGTATCTCCTCATTTCCATTGCTATTTGACTGGTCTTCCCGGTTTCCCACATTGTTCGAACGTTCCATGTACCTATAAAAATTTTTGCTCTGGTTGTTAGAAGGGGCATCGGCCTCGTGGCTTCCGAAGGAACTCGGCTTTCACCATGAAGCGTCAGAGTTCTCCTAAATGAAGACCTTCTAACTCCCAGGGCACAGTTTAAATGGTTTGATTATTTTTTCTGGTAAGCGTTTTTTTAGCGAGTTAGTGTTCTACGGGATGGGGACGCTAACCCCATGCCCAACCCTCCTCCTTTACCCGGGCTTGGGACCGGCAGTAACTCTAGAAGAGCTACAGGCGAAGTTTTTTATTGACCGGAAATTCATAAATCGTTTACGTCACAAATCGATACTGATTGAGATACCATTGGATAATGTAGAATATTAGACATTGTGTAACTACATAGTAGTATACGTTCATGATCTTGTCATGGACCCTCATTTTTCCAGACAGTAAGTTTTCAGATTATTGATTTGGAATCCATTGATCCAAACTTTTAATCGCATTTAATTCACGATAAAACGCAGCAATCATGTAGTGCCTCTAGTGTTCAACTTCTTTACTCTATATATAAATGAACTCTGCTAGTCAGAGATTAGTCTCTAAAGCAGTCACTACTGAGCCAACAATTATAATTTCTTATAAATCCTTTGTGGTAATTGATTTGATTCATACTATCCTTCACAAACTCTGTATCCAATAAGAAATTTGTACTAATAATATTATGTCATCCCTTTCATTTCCCGATTTCGCTGTATGTTTCTTAAGAATTAATTTTCCTATGCTTTGTTTTTCACTCACATAAACGTTTTATCAACTCTAATTATTTCTCACCTCGTTATGTTGATATGATATTAGTAAACTTGAACTAATAGACATCTATGCCACGTTCTCTATTCTATAAGAATAACCAATAATTCTTGGATTTTAATAGTACTTCAGCTATCTTCAGCTCATGATGTGAATTTGTCTGATCATTACAATATCTTTATATTAAGATCTTAGATAAATAAATAAAGAATATTGTTTTCCAATAAGTTGTCTTCAGCTTCTGATGTTTTAAGTCCAAATTAATTATCCAAACAGGATAACTAAGTCTACAACAAATACATATTTTCAAATTTTAGCGTGACCGCGGTGCCCAAAGGACAACTGCTTAAGGTTGGTCACACACGACCTTTTTATGAGTAATTTTTGTATTAGCTCCTTACTTCTTGAGACCCTAGCGCCGGAGATGGATATCCGTGAGATAAGGCGAGGTGTGCATTTTTGTGGTCGACCTTTACTGATCCCACTCATCCTTGTGGGAAGGTAGCATCGCTGTCATGCTGGTTGTTCGAAGAAAACACCTAGCTGCTGTCAAACCTCTTTACGGTCAGCAGTACGACTTCACCTTCGGACCTTGGGTTTGTCGCTTTTAGTCTTACCGCTCTTCAATCGACCTGTCTGGCATGGTAGGACCTTGAGCAACGGGTTTTCCAGCCAGTATAGCTTAGTTGCTTCATCGCGATAGGCAAGCCCGACCACCATGTCAAGGTAGCAACAACGGTCTGCGACTGAAAAGCATTCCTCAGAAGTACATAAATCTTGTAAAGGCCCTTTACTCGAACACTACTAGTCGAGTCAGAGCTTATGGCGAACTGTCATCGATTACCACAACGTGCAATACTGACTAGTGTTGGGGATGGTTGGAAGAAAGTTAGGGCTGGCCAAACCAAAACATGGCATCAGTGCTTGAAGTCACTAACTTCTAGTCTGTGCCATGTTGGTAGGTGCAGACTACTTGGTTGGGTTCCGCGTGACTATTGTAACCAGTGGTTGGAGACTCTGGGTGACATGGTTCAGAATCGATCACAATGGCGTCGGTGTATACACTCTCTCTGATCCGATTCAAACTTAAAAAACCATCCTAATTTTGTTTCTTCCAATCAAATAATTCTATACGATAATTCATCTGTAATTGTTTTTTCAGTAATGTCAAACAACTGCAAAATGTCAGATAGGTTTTGTGGATATTACAGTAATTTCAATTGTTAAGATCATGAATCAGTTGAAGCTAGACCACCATGAAAAACCTGAAAGCATTAGATGGCCATTTCTTCCTGACCTGGGACTCTTCAACAGTGTGTCCTGGGTTCGAATCTCGCAGGGGGCGAGGTCGTGGATGTGCACTGCCGAAGAGTCCTACAATAGGACGAAACGGCCGTCCAGTGCTCCCATGTTTTCCATGGTGGTCTAGTTCCAACTGACTCATGATCTTAAGCATTGATATTGTAAAATGGCTTGTTTCAGCTCACTTAGTACAAACTTTCAAGCATTTTCGTGCTTATTTACCTATTCTATGACTATACTGATACGCTAAGAATTTAGTAGTTGATATAGCACATCCTTTTAAATACCTTCTGTTAGATAGATGGAATACGTAATTAGAAATTGAAGAAAAACTGTCTAGTTATGTGTTTTCAGGTAAACTAGGCTACATCAAATAACTTGTTAGTAAGAGAACAGAAAATGTAAATTTTAGCTCAATCGATTAAACAAACCTGACGTCTTAATAAACAGATAGATAAAAGGTAATATGAGTTTTCCGTGTCTTTGTGTGTGTGGAGTCGCAAGTATGCTGGCTTTTAATTGATTAAATGTTTAGTATTTTGTTTCACGTACTTCATATGATTGGCTGATTATGTGAGCATATACACACATCATATAATTCACCTTTCTATTTGCTTAACGTGTACACACATTCATACCTTCAAACTTCTAGACATTTATTCATAAATAACTGAATTTATGTGTCTGATAGCTTAATTAAAACACTCAACTGAAAAACACTAGTTTGTATCGATGGTTATTGTTAATCGATTCCGAGGGTTTTATTGAAAATGAGCCATTTTAGATTAAATTTCATAAAAACAGAATGTTGATACAGTTTAGACGATAGTCATATGCGACGAAATTCACTACCGAAATGATTATTTTCTGATTCGTGTACACATCTATACCAGTTAGGAAACTTGTACTGTATTATAGTAGACACTTTCGATTTTTTGAGGACTGATTGAAACCATAATACACTAAACAATCGTCCTCCTCTGATTTGAAACTATTCGGAAAAAATGCACCAAAAATCCAACCAAGAGTTTAACTTTAAAACTCTTAGAGAGCTCCTTGCAATTGAACCACTAACTTGAAATCATCGGTCTGCATTTCCAACTTCAATCGGTTCACAGTAAAACGCGATATAATTAAATTTTAACAGTTACAACCAATTATTAAAGTTGGAAAACTGCGGGTCACTGAATTTTAAACATGCGATCTCAACGTAAGGTATTTGAGACGAAACCTGAAGGTCTCAGGTCTTATTTCTGATGGTGACATGGGTAAGCATATCTGAAAAGAACTAAGACCAACCATGTGACTATCAGTGGCTTCCCAAATGATATCATTTGGTAATGAAAACCGGCCATAAATTACATCTGTCTTCATAACCTCTTGAATAAAACTATTTTGAATTAATGCCAAAAATTTGATTTCCCGATTCGGCTGCACAGATCATCAATGAGTTTCAGACTCAGAAGTACAAGAATTTTCTATGTTTCAGGAACATTTAGTACGTGAACCGCGTTCATGAAACTTGGTTATTTTCCAAAGATTCAATGAAATATGGATTGTTTCAAAAATTTAATTAGAAAATGGAACTATTTAAAATGAAATAAACAGAGATACTGATGCTGGTAAATAAATGGTACTTTCGAAACATTGTTAGAATGTCGAAGGTATGATATTTAATGTAAATGTAAGATAAACTAATGAATAAAGTCATAAAATAGAAATAGATGAAGTATTTCTCAAGTTTTCATTCTGACTACAGGAGTAATAAAACAAAAAAGGAGTCAACGCTATTAAGCTTATAAGTTATCAATACCAAGGTTAGACTTGATAGTTCCAAATAAATTGAACATTGGGTTGAAAATTATATATCTACTCTGAAGAAGTGGCTTACATTAAGTGACGAAACATCAGAAATGCAATTTTTCTACTCATTGGGAAATAACAAAAAAATACTATCCGGCCTAGTTATAAAACAATTTTGTGATGATTAATACTTTAGTGTGCTTTTACTGTTTTATTCACGTCTTCTCGGAGCCTTCAACTAGGTAGTTGTTGATCATAATTAGTTTATACTTGTTTTAATCTATTATAACCGCATAATTACAGACTACACGGTTTAGTAAGTAAAAATATGTCATATGAATAACCCAAATTCATTTGAAACAACTACAGATCAGGTTAAAAGGTTAGGTTTCATGATTTTAAAGATAAGTCATTGTGTATAATATTGTGAATATGTGAGTCTACTCAATTTATACAAGATAACCATAATTAAAATTAGATGATAAAATAAAACGATATTATACAGTATTCGAAAATGTGGATAATCTGATTTTTCTCAGTAGTTTGAAAGTATTATGCTCATGACTGTCGAATTCTGTCAAGAATGCTCATCTCTGAAGATTCTTTGAACTGGATGAGACATGTGTTCAGTGATCTCTGATTTTCTATGCTTCTTCAGCTGGAGTCAGTCTATGGCACAAATCTACCTTCAAGATATATGTCTTTATAGAAACACCTAATTCATATACATGCTTTTGCAGCTCTGTTATCAGTAAAGTGATATCTCATGGAAACAAATCTTGTAAACATGTTACCTTTCTAAAATATCCTTTACATCGAAAAACAACAACAAAAAAGGGGATAAAAATAAAGATTTTGTTAATATGTGTATTTCCATTGTTCTAAAAGGCATAACACAAGAAGAAATAGACGATTGGCATCGGGTGCCAGAATGTGAAATGCTTGCAGATATGGAAGCCTTATACAAAGCTGGTGCAGACCTTGATCGACTAGATGCACAAGGAGCATCTATGGTGAGTAAAGCTAAGTGGCCCCAGTTTAATTATTTTATATGGAGATGAGTTGATTTTTAGTTAAATTATCATTATCTTTTATAAATGGAAGAATAGGTTTATAATGTACCGACATAAAGTGGTTGATCTATATCAGTTTACAGTTGTTATATATCACATATTCAAATCCTAGGAAACAGTATTCTTCAATTGAAAGAATGAAATAATTTTAATTATCTGAATATCCCTACACTTCAGTGACCGAGTGACCAATCAAATCAAAAGCATTTTAATGTTACTGGTATTGGAATTCTTCACTGCAGATATGGTACAAAAAATAAAAACCATCATTTTACAGTTAATCAATCCAGATAAACACATTTATTTCTATTACAACATCGAAGCTAATAAACAACTGTAAACTACTACTTGAAACTACTGAGTTATTCATGAATGATTCATATTTCCAACTTCAATGAATTCAAGATATTATTTTTATCACTGATTAAAAGTGCTATGAAATATTTACTATTCAATTAATTCATTGAAATAAATTCTATTTACCAGTTAAATCAATTAATATGAACTTGTGATAAATTACTTCATACATTCTGTTTGCTAATTACATTTTACCTTTGAGTTATTTGTTCCCAGTTTTGTGTTAAGTTACTTGTGTATATTTGTCGTAGACTATTTTCAAAATAGAAAATCATGATGATACAGAGGATAAATATCAGTAACTTTATTATTGTGTTCACAAATATACAAATCATATTCATATCACCCTCTATAATGAATGAGAACACAGGCGGAGACAAAGTGAATACAACACTACAGAATATCTTAGTAAAATCTGTTAACCATACAGTAAATACGTCATTTGCAAAATGTCCACAAATTGTCTCAGACTTTATCGTTCCTTCGTTTCTATACCAGTCACTCACTGTTCTCGTTCTCTTCTCTCAGATTTTCTCCACCTTCTGCCACCAGACATTTCACTTTCGACTGATGATATATACTATTTACATCTATGGATATCAGTAGCACACAGCACACCTCCAGTATAAAATAAGACATCAAGTCACTATCATATGTTTTTTTTTCTTTCCTCTGTAATTCACTCACCAGTCAAATCATCATTGTTTTTAATTGAAAAAAAGGAAATTATCAAAATTCAATAACTTAAGCTTTAACTGGATTTCCACCTTGTAGTTAAAAAAAAGGTGAAGTGAACAGATCTATTATGATTTGAATATCTTGACTGATTAATCATTATTTAAGTAATTGCTAGGTTTAATAATACTAATGATAAGCTATATCTCATCTCAATTAACATATTACCTATATTCATATGATTATCTTAAAAATGTACTAATATTTTATGTTTCAGTAGTATTTATTATAGTACGATATCATTATTGTTTAATTACGTATATTCATGAACGGTTTACACACTTCTCTTCTTATCTCTCAACAATAAGAGATATTTATAAATATAAGCTAAAAACAATAATAATACCGATTCCATGGTATACTGTATATCACAGATAAAAATTATTTTAATCATGAAGTGATACTAAGTATTCTTAATCCTATAATTTAATTTAACCAATTATACTGATCTCTTTACTTAGTGTTTTATGATTTATGCTTTACAAATTCCCACATGACTTTAAAATTATCGATTTTCCTCATTTTCAATTCCAAACGTTATGGTCCCAGTTTGTTACTATATATGTACGTCAGATAAAGCGTTATAAAGTCTATGTATTTACCCTAATGTCTATAAATGCTTATTCACTCATAGCATATCTTGGCAAAAAAAAGTAGAAATTCTGAGTACAACAGACATCACTCAGTTGTTTCCATAGACTCAGAAGTACTCCAAATTCTTTAGTCAAAGTTATATGGATAAAAATCTAAAGTATAAGACTTAGATTCATCATAATGGTTGCTACATACGAAAAGAACGTCTAATGACAACAAAGTTTGTTAAAATTTAGATGTCAGTATTATTTAGTGTCAGTGTATATGAAGGTTCAAATAAACCTTTCCGACTGAAGAGTAAACTAAGGTATTCATATGTTTTAGAGTAAGATTAACAGTGACACAAAACATCAGTAGAAATATTTGAAGAATTTATATACATATAATGAGGGCTTTAATAGATTCATTTTGTTTTGTTATTGTCATAGTGTGTAATCCGGTTATGTTACTTTACATTCATTCAAGAGCCCTTCCGATTTATCTAAATGACGTTAAAATATTTGGACATGGACAAATCTCTATTGCTGAGTACCGCATATAATGCTTACATTTTATGTTTGTCTTAAAGTTGACAGACTAACCAGAACGTGATCGTGCGGTTAGTGATATTGGCTAGGCAAATAACCTATCTACTCACCATAACTCACCTATAATTGTGTATAAACTACCATGCAACCACTTAAACATTTAGTTATCTGCTTTCCTCAATATATTCGTTACCTTCGATTTCGTGAATTCATTCAACCTTTCCTACTGCAATTGATGTTGTTACTACTTCTAATGCTTCGAGATTTGTTTTAGTAACTCCATCCTGCTGCCCCAAATAGTATGGTCACATGAAACGATACACGTTTCTGTCAAGTCCTGTGCTGCATATGACTGACTGAATGACTTCCTGTTCATGTACAAATATATTTAGAGACAGTTTCATAAGAACCAAAAGCGTGTTGGACAAATCTGTTGACGGGAAAAAATCAAAGTTTTCATACTTATCAAAATCAAAAATAGGAGAACGATTTCATTTAAATTGTCATATAAATGATCAGGAATCTCTCTGAAAAATTAATAATAGATTGACATGAATTTCCAAGTTATAAGGACAAAATAAATCGAATATACTTGTGAAATTGTCAGCAAGAGGTTGTGGAGAATGTTGACTTTCATTGAAATCATGAACCGATCTAAGTAAGACCACTATTACAAAGTTGAAGGGACTTGATGGACATTTCCTTCTAATATAGTACTCGTCAGGAGCGCAAACCCACGAAACGGCCATCCAGCCAACTAGCTTCGAGAGGAAATTTCCGAAGTTATAGTGAGAAGCCGTGACCAGTGGGGCTAAGCCATGTCGAGTATGAGGCATTCACTCACCGAAGACAATCGAAGATGTTTGTGCAATGCCACAGATTAATGGAGGTAAGACACTATTACGCTGGATGTCTGAATGTTAGTCGTTCATACGCGAGACTGAAGATCATGGCGTACGGGATCGCAGATGAGCACTGCAGAAGAATCCTATATTCGAACAAAACGGCCGTTCAGAGCTTCCAGGTTCTCAATAGTGGCCTAACTTAGATCAGTTCATGATTTCAGCGAAACGCTTGCAGCTAAAGTGCATGTCATTAGGTTTCGAAATGATAAAGGTGGTTCGTAGCTGAGAAAACGGATTTCGTTCCTGATTAGCTCTTATGGTGGACCAAAAAATCTAAGCATCTATACATAAGGGATTATCAAACTCTTACATACAACGGGTTAAAAATAATGTCAAAAGCAATAAATCGTTTGGTGGACTTATGCAATCATGCTATCATATCTGGAATAAAATTTTAGATACGATCAAATATATTCAAACGCCACAATAGATTATTATATCCTTAGACATTATAACCCTATTCATCTCGACTGAACCACAGAACATTTCCCTATTCGTCACCAATTATACAAATCACTCAGCGCTTATGATGCTTCAAAATCAACGTTTAATTTAGCTTAACAAGTTGTGTGTAACAACATATTTCCGGTGAAACATGCAAACAAGAAAGACGTTCAATCGGATCACCGACATCCTGATTAATTACAGAAAGAATAACGAAGAGATCAGAAACTTTAGTTTTCACGAAATCTCTCCAATCAGTATTGTGCAAGTCAAGAGAAGCGACAGAGGAATAGAAGCTAAATAAATTACAAGGATCTATACTATCTCAGACTGAGTGCCTACTATCGTCATCTGCGAAACACCAACTACCTTATAAACGCTACGACATATCTTCACTAATATCAATATATAAAAATAATGAGATCAATTTGATCATGAAGACCATTAAAAATCGAACAGAGGAGTCACATAGAGAAGTATGGAATTTTTAAAATCTTGATACTCAAATTACACACCAATCGATAAACGTATTAAAATAGACCAAATATATTCCTCAATGCAGAAAAGGATATACGAGGCCCAAGTCGAAGATTGAACCAGAAAAAAACCCATCAAGATAAATAACAATAACAATAATGCTGATAGTAGAACAAGCTGTCCATCAACTGTGAAGAAATTCTAATAAGCTTCTTTTAAAATATGGGCTGATGATATTGTTCAGAATATCAGAGAAAGCACTATAGTTAAACCTACTAGCTCAGACAGGTTAACAATAAAAAAGAATAGATTTATTTCAAAATTATTTAAAGCCGTTTACTAGCGTATCAAAGTATGCCATAATAATAAGAAATTATATATTATATACCTAATTATTTGTTTCTGTTGTAAACGATATATTATTGTGAGAAATAACGAATATTTAACATCTTTGATATTACTGCTTTCAACTACCAAAACTAAAGTAATTAAAAGGAAGTTAGTGAATTTATTCAGATTAGAGAGACCACACTTTAAAGTTCAAAACAGAAAACTTTATAAGTCCCTATCAAATTAATTACTTGATATTATGACATCGATATCATCTAATACATTGATTAAATATTCACCAGGTAAAAGAACTAAACTTTCAACTTTTTCTGCCGTAAATTATTTCATTAATTTCATTCGTGACAATTAGAATAATATCTACTAGCTTTGACCAAAACGATTCACACAATCATTTACTTATCAACCAGAAAACTTGATCGGTCTAATTACTAATTACTTGAAAATAACCATTAACCTAAGATTCTTATTAAATGCTCACATTAAAACATATCGTAAACGTGATAGAAATTATATACAAAAAATCTCTCTAGGATATAATCTATTGTTTCTTATCAGAATATAGTTAGATTATGTAACTTTTCAATGCGAATTCATGATTACCACCAGTAAAAAGATATTTTACAGTAAGAAAAAAATAAATAAATATTTTAAATTTCAGTTCTTGTGATTCCCTTAGGCTTATTTATATGTTAGTTAGAAACTGGTTCAATTTTCAATGTCAATTATTAATTCAATATTCAACTTAACAAAATAAATTGTCATTACTTAATCGTCAAGTTATGATAAACATAATCGTTATCGTGATTTTAATAGTTGAGACCATGAGTCAATTGAAGCTAGACCACCATGGAAAACATGGAAGCACTGGACGGCCGATCCGTCATATGGTGGGACTCCTCAGCAGTGCGCATCCACGATCGCTCAATGTTGTGGATTAGTTGAAGTTAGACAGCAGCACCGTTGGATGCCAGCTCAGTGGTTTAGTGGTTAAGTGCTCGCGTGCGAGACTGATAGATTCTGGCTTCGAATCCCGAGGGGTGGGGTCGTGAATGCGCACTGCTGAGGGGTCTCATACCAGAACGAAACGGCCGTCCAGTGCTTCCAGGTTTTCCATGGTGATCTAGCTTCACTTGATTCACGAACTTAACTATTAAAATTACTACAATCTCCAAAATACCCCCTTCTGATGTTATCGTATTTTTTTAAGCAAGAAAAATATCGTTTCAATTTTTTTTTGTAACTAAAGATAATTTCATTTTGATCTATTTATCTATCTATGCGTGATAAAATTTAGTGAATCAATATGCTTGTTTGTTCAGTGCTTTATTTTTCAAATTGTATTCATCATTAGTTTTGCTATAATTCCATTTATACCGTTATTTTTGGCTTCAGCCTACATCCCTTAATTTACTCTGTTTCAATTTATTGCTTTTTTCTGTTATGATGAATCTGTAAATTAGATTTTTGTAAAAAAAAACAAAAGAATTTTACACGTCCTATCTTTTTCTTATCTATTTTTTTTAAGAAATTTAATTTTTGATGAAACTGGTATTGTGTGTTCTGAATTTATTGACTACCTACTAGTCAATATTTGTTATGCAGTGAATTATGGATAGAAAAAAGATCTTGATAGGTTCGCATAAATGAAAGACAATGTGTCTTGGTACGAGTAATTACATAATAATGGAAGTAATAATAATAATAATAGTCTTATGATTCATATGGTGTATTCAAAAACAGTAGAATATTCTGAGGGAACTTCTGTTCTCGATAACTACCTTCTTAAATGACCTTTCAAATTTATAAATAGTACGTTTTGGACGTAAACTAGTCGTAATCGGTGCTAAATTTCACTATTAAAAAAAACAATGTTTATTAGACCTATTTGCTTACAGCTTAACTGAAAGATTTTAATAAAATAATGAATTAATCATTGTAGAACAAGATAATGAAGTAATTCAAAATAACTATCCGCTCGAATACAACTTGTTTTCAAAATAGTTGTTATCTTCATTAGAATTTTGTGAATTTACGGGTACATAGAACATATATATTTTCAAGTTGTATTACTTGGTATTCAGTCTATTTCTTCGTTTTGTAAACATTTGTGAAAAAGGTTTCAGTTTATATGTTTTTGAACTTGAACTATTAAACTGTAAATTATTCATTTTTCTAAATGTTATCGTCAAGGGAAACATTTGGAAACCTGTTGGTTGTTATTTACAACATAAGTTTCAGACTTCTTAGGAATGCATATTCACATCCCTAAAATTTGACAAAATCCAGGACCTATATTTTTCGTGGAGATCACAATATCTTTACATCCTTAAACGAGAATTCAACGACTCAGATTTCAAGCTTTATTCATCTTTCAACATGGTATGGCCATCAAACAATTTCATTTGTAATAACTATCTCACAGACAACATGTTATACATTACCAATCACTGCGTCCAGCTAGAAATTCAACAAAATTCACCTCAAGAGATAGGATTCTGAATTTGGCACCGTGTGAGTCCCGCTGTGAAATTCTAAACATGAGCGGAAAATGTATTCAATGTTCTCTGGCCTACAACACTTTACTAGTCAGTTAATAACGAAAACAGTCTTCTTATGTAATTTCCATTCAATATTATATTTTAAATAATTGTTTCGTTAGCTTAATTTTCAATCGTTTGTCATCTTAACCTTCAAAATACATTTTTGTTTTGATATAGTTACACATCGCAGCTGCTAGTGGCTTTGAAGAAGTTGTTTTATTTTTGTTAAAACGTGGAGCAAAAATTGATCTTCTTGATAAAGATGGTTGGCAAGCAATACATATTGCAGCTTGTTGGTGTCAAGTAAGTGTATATTATTCAATATGTGGTTTATGCTTACTCATGAGTAGCTTGTAGATTTATATAATTTGTGGAAACTGAATCTTATTTTTTTTATTGAAATCACCAGTCTATCTAGGTCAAACAAGCATTAAAGACTGTCAAGCACTGAACAGCTATTTTGTTCTAGTATGGTACTCATTAATGACGCTCATTCACAACGCCCTAGAACCCTAGACAATTGGTTCCACACTCGAACGCTTAACTTTTAAACCACTGAGCTGGTATCCAGTAATGTACAAACTTAACTTCAACCCATCTAAGATACTGCCTCACTACTTTTTCATCGTCTTTGCTAGTTATCTACCTCATACTCAACACAGTTGAACTTCAATGGTCAGAGCTTCTCATTAGAAATTCGGAAAATTTCTCCTTTAGCTAGTCACTAGTGGGAACATGATAATTATCGATTGAGGAATTCTGGAGATTACGTTTTCTTCAGAAAATTAAAAAATATGTTGTTAAGAATTATCCTTTGAATTTTTTTAAACTCTGGTCATTACTGCCTAAGTGTCATCGTTTACAATGTTTTAATAAAATATTAGTATCGCTGATAGATAACAGTTGTTGAAATTTGAGAAATTACCAAGTATTACTTATTATTATTGTTTACTTTCTTATAGAATTTACATCTACATTCAATAAGATCATAAACTTTCAATTTCGTCATCCTTTCTTTAACTGGTTTGTTAAAATATGAAAGGTAAAAATATCCTAATTCTAATTATGAGGTCTTTCATACCACAACAATGAACACTGTATTGAAATCTAATAAAATGTACTTTATTATGACAAGATCTATTATCCAATCCGACTATATTTGACACTGAAAATAGTCTTATCTTCCATATAATGATTTATCTGATTAACATACAGTACGAAAATATATATAGTGTTTCGTGGATGTTCATGTGTAGTCGGTCAAAAAGTGACTAAGTAGATCTCCTTATGTAATTAAATCTTTAACAATTAAACATCATTAAAAAACCGTTTTAAACAAACGATAAATATAATAACATTTTTTTACTACCCACTTAGTGGTAATGTGGTATGTGCCACTTATATCGGCAGACACAAGTAGTACGTAACACCAGTCAGAAGTGGAATCCCTGTTAGACGAAGGTTGAGGAGATGGGATTGAAAAGAATAATTGTAATAACAACAGGAATGAAGGAATCATAAAGTTTGTAAGCGACAATTGATGGAAGGTGTGCAAATGAAGTATTTAATGTATAATTCTCGTATTTCGCGAAGGTATTCTGTAATTTTGTATATATTACCAATAAGTTGACCTTCTCTACCTACGTTCGCGTTCACTACAATTTTTACATGATCAATCATAAGAATTCGTCTTTTTGAATGTTTCCCCCATTAACTGAATTATAATTAAGTGATAGAGTTGTAGATTTACAAAATAGACTTAATAAAGTCACGAGGCTGATGCCCCTTCTGATAACCAGAGCAACCATTTATTTAGGTACATGGAATGCTCGTACAATGTGGGAGACCGTGAGAGTCTTCCAAATTGACAAAATAAACAATTGAACATTGCCAATATACGCTTATGTAAATTAACTTTTGAAATTGTTCCAGGTTACATACATATTAAACAAAAACTAAAATTTATTCAAGGTGAGACTATAATTTATGGACGATCTTTGAGCGACGCTAGACTGACCTTTTGATCGTCCACATAATAACTAGGACTAAATGTGGATCATAAACCTGTGTAAGGAAGTATAATTACGATTTACAGTTGATGGTTAAAGTTAAGAATTAGATTTAAAGTTTTCATCACGAATTGACATAAGCTACAATGCCAAAACTCTTTTTAACCAAATGGCCTAGTTAATTTCGCGTCAAAATATAAGACTTGTTATCTTATACTCGATTAGTTCGTTCATAAATTGTAGTCTCTCCGAAATAACATTTAATTGTCGAATTCATGAGTCAATGTAGACTAGACCATCATGGAAAGCCTGGAAGTACTGGAGGCCGTTTCGTCCTAATATGGGTCTCCTCAGCAATGTGCATCAACGATTCAACCATTTTTATAATGATCTAGCTTTAATTGACTGATAAATCCAAATATTCAATTACTATAATCTCTACATAACCTATTTCTAAAATAACATTCCTCTTACATAATTTTAATAGTTAAAATAATTTTTTTTAAAAAGAAAATAAACCACAATTAAATATCCTAAATCAAATAAATTAGTTTTAGAGATTAAATGTAAAACAAAATTTAATGACTTGTTGTTTCAAAATTAGATTGTTTTCTAAATGAACTTAAAAAAGAGAAACATTCATATAGATATTTAGAAAGAATTCATCTATATTCAATAAAAACTTTCATCTAAATTTGATCGAATAGTTTCACAGTGTTTGAGCGCCGAAGAATGTATTTGTATGTATATATGACTTCAATTTACATTAATAGAATTTTACACCTTATTTCAAATCAAATTAATTGACTAATGTACAATCAATAACAATAACAGATAACAAATGGTGTTTGAGTAGAAAAATTATTAGTGGCTGAAATGGTAGGTAAATTGTAATTACAGTTAGATTTAAATAATTTAGAACAATATTTTTTTCGATTAGATCCTCATCGGTCTTTACTCTAATATATAGTAATGTTTATTATCAGAAGGGGTTTTGTGGAGATTTTAGTTATTTCAATAGTTGAGATCATGAGTCAGTTGAAGCTACACCACCATGGAAAACCTGGAAGCAGTGAACGGCTGTTTCGTCGTAGTTTGGGACTGATAGGTCCTGGCTTCGAATCTCGCGAGGCGGGATCGTGGATGCGCACTGCTGATGAGTTCCATACACATATAGTTCTAAATTACAATATGGGAATTTTTCAGATTTAAATAAATCACTTATTTTACATGGTCGAATGCATGAATTTATTCTGTTTATATACAGCTGTTCTATCTAATTTATTTATCTATCGATAAAATTAAAAACATTATCTCATGTTGTCTACTCATTAATTGATAATTTCCAAAGAGACAATAAATCATATTGGTTGACTTTGAAAAAGTTTTAAATAATAAAATAAGGACCAAAACGAGAAAAAAATAGATGAAAAGAATTTTATTATTTTTGAAATGGTGAACATGAGATAAAATTACCTATTTAGTTTTGATATCAGAAAGGGTTTTTTTGTGGATATTATAGTAATCTAATAATTAAGATCATGAGTCAATCGAAGCTAGAACGCCATGGAAAACCTAGAGGCACTAGACAGCCGTTTCGTCCTATTATGGGACTCCTCAGCAGTGCGTATCCACGATCCCACCCCGCGGGATTTGAACACAGAATCTACAGGTCTCTAGCGCAGACGCCTAACCCCAAGATCATTGAGCTAAGGTCGAACGGTGTTAATGTCTAACTTCAGCATATGCTCACTAGTGATTGACTTCAAGAGGTACTTCCCGGAGTTCTAATGAGAAACAGAGACACGTGGAGTTCAACCGAGTCTGTTGTGAAATAGTAACTCACTGAACACAACTGTGAGCGTGGGGTTATTTAGTTTTAATTAATAAAATATTTTGAATAACAACTGATTAACAAATAAACTTAAGTTTTTTTTCCTATCAAACTTCACCCCATTGCAAAAGCTAGTGGCTATCTTCACTCAGTACGTTAGTGGATAACACGATGGTATTTGAAGCGAACAATTCTGAGTTCGTGTCGTGGAATGAATATCAACTCTGACATGCAGGTATATCCAGCGGACAAGTTGTTAATGGGACGAAACGCGCGTTTTCGATTACACTGCTAACCATCATCATCTCTGCTTAGAACAAAATTTCTACTACTTGGACATGGACATTTATTCAGACTCTTACAATATTGGTTATAAATTACTAATTTAAAACATACACATAACCTACAGTAATGTCATATTTAAAACAAGATGGTTAATCCTTTTTGCTGAGATCAAACTTTTAAATGTTTAATGTTTGTGAGAGCAAATCGATTATTATCTTTAGTGGTCCTCATTTACAGAAGATAACAATAGATAACATCCCCTATCGATAAATTAAAATTTACTCTTCCATACTTAGTTATTTCATCTATCTATTGAATACACGATTGTATGGAAATAAAAAGGTATCCAATATATGTGTAGACTATATCCATTTGTCACGTGTCTCATTACTAAATTAAAAAGACCAACTCAGTAGAATTAAACCAATGCCCCCAAACGGTCGAGAGCGGGGAAAGTCCGCTCTCCCTCTAGAAATGATCTCACATGACCAGGTGTATACAGCCACAGCCAGAGAAGTCCTACAAACTTCCTTCTCGTCGTGGATGTGTTGAATATGAAATCGAGTGAATGAAAAGCGAATATCCGGCTATCTAACCGGGTTGGCAGACACGCAGGGTCCACCTAGTGGAGTGGGAAAACCATGATTCTAAACTAATGGTGCACATGGGCCCAAGTATCCCGTAGGAGCAAGTAACGTATGAACCAATTATTGATCACTGGCTACCATGGGACTGCATCTTCCAACGTTGCTCTACTGCCTTATGTACTAGACCTTTAGATCAAAGACTCGGAGTGTGGCCCCCTAAGAAAACCACTTACTTTTGTTTGAACACCCGTGCAGTATCCAAGCTCTTACACAAAACAAATGATTTATGTAGTGCATATGTATCTTGTGCACTCTTTTACCGATATCTATGTGTTCAAATAAATGTAAATAAATTAAACCAATATAGTGAATGTTTATGAAAAATATCAATAGCCCTAGGTTCTTCTAAATTTATTTAAAATAAAATTCATACTGCTACTTAAGTAGATATTAATGAATATATCTTATATGGTTATCGACCGTACGTTTTGTTTGCCTTATCAGTTTTGGACTAGAAGCCTTTACATTATTGTGGGTAACGTAGACAATTAATTATTAACTGATTGTTTATTATAATTAGAAAATAGGTAAAATATTGGGACATTGAAATATTTGCAAAATTACTGTCAGTGAAAATTTTCCTTATATATTTTTTTGAACAGCTCAGTAATCTATTCACGTTTACTGTCTAATGAATAACTTTTTATATAATTAGTGTCAAATGTTTCCCTCACTTAAATACGTATCTTAGAAGGGATGTTCATTTCAATCTTAATACATAAAGACCATACGAATGATGGCAATGATAGAATTTGCTATGTTTGAAGCGATTACGAGTTCACTTAGTCTGCGAACGGAACAAAGACTTGTGACCAAAGACTAATAAATTAGCTATTCTGATGCGTCTCATTCCCGCTAACTAAAGAGAGAAGTCAAAGCTCGAACGGGGAAGTATCTTCCGCAAAAAGTCATAAGCACGAGCGATAAAAACAGACACAAATCAAAACTTATATATACAGCACAAAAGCATACTTGAGAAGCGTTACAAAATAGCATACTAAAAAACACAACGGACTAATAGCATTTAAGATTCTCCCAGGCAGGAAAAAATGACACGAAGGTAAAAAGAGCGCATTTGGCGCGAAAACAAAGAAATTTAAATTTTCAAAATAAAATTACAAAATTGGGACCTTTTCCAAGTGAGTTCTGGGATCTAACGCCCCCAACAGAATTATGTGTAATTATCAATGATTGATGATTTCAAATACATTGAGTCTTATATATAGAACGTGAATAATAAATACATTTTTGTAACATCACAATGAGTAAAAAATCTCATTTCTAACGTTGCATGACTTAATGTACTCTGAGACAGTGAATTACATTAAATCACGAAACATCAGAAATACAAATTTCTGCTTGTCGAAATACTACAGAAATATATTGATTAGAATTGTGTGTAGTTTTAAATTAACTTCATATTGTTTACTTGAATCTCCCTATTGATGTTTAGGACTGCAATTGATCAGTCTCTTATTGCATATGTATATAATGTGCGTATTGCTATAATTCACATGATAGACTCAGTAGCTAAGTGGATAATGCGATAGCGTTTGAGGCAAATGGTGCTGGGTTCGAGTCTCAGAGTGAACATCAACTCTGAAGTGTAGATACATCCAGATGGTGAGTCTCAACTACGACGAAACGCGCGTCCTGGATTCCATTACTAGCCACTATCCATGTTTACTTATGCGTAGATTTTTTATTCAATTTCGTGTATCATGGGATGTATTACATTCATAATAAATTAATAATATAATTTACTCCTTTCGTTGTTCAATTTAGATAGGAGAAATGTAATAGAAATGGCCAAACTTAATGTTAACGAGTAATTAATTCTTTGTTATTGGAAATGATCCAAGAGTTTTGCCTTCAATGATAAATAAGAATTTTTTTCAATGTTCACAACCGCATCATATTTTGTATCACTAAATGGAACATTATGGAATTCATGTTTTTTTAGTAGACGTTTATCTTATGTCGTGATTTATGATCAAGATGGATAATTAAGATCATTATTGAGATCTAGGTTTTTTCAGATTGGAGAATTTTTCACATTATAGATAGTTTATTTGAGCTTTGAGTGACCCAATAGTAAGAAATCTCAACTGAAACATAACGTGCTTTCGAAAACTGAATTTTCGCACTTCAGTTAACGTCACACAAAATGTACTTCATGTTGAGTCCTTTTTAGCTAAGTGGCTACATTTCAGATTCAGTCTATATCATGAAGACCTTAATTGTTAGTGACTTATCAATACATTTATCACTGTAGCACTATTGTTAATGTTTACTTTTCTTGTCAGTTACTGATACTTGGAATCATAAAATAATGCGGGATTTTAAGAACCAGATTTGATTGTTAATCATTGTGTAACTTAATTTTCCCATTTGAATTATACTTAGTAATCGTACCATACTCACGACTAGACAACAAACATTCTTAATAATCCTATTAATAAGTTAATGTAATTTATGATGAGTTTTTTTATCATCATAAGAGGTAAAATAATATAAAACAATAGATATGTCCCAGAATATATCACATGACAAGATTGTTAAATGCAATGATAGTCAATCACGTAATGGTTATTATGAGTACGATTCCTTAAAAAAACTAATCGTTATTAAAAGTTTTGAATGTTAATTTCTTTTATTGCACTTTGAAACAATATGGTTTCAATTTTGAAGCTGACGAGAAATCAAATTAATTTAATCGTTGAATTCATGAGACAAGTGAAGCTAGACTACCATAGAAAACCTGAAAGCACTGGACGGCCGTTTCGTCTTAGTATGCGACTCCTCCTGCAATGTTCATCCACGATCCTGCACGCGGGATTAGAACCTAGGACTTATCGATCTCACGCGCGAACTCTGAACCTCTGGGCCAGCATTCAGTGGTGTTAATGTCTAACTTCAGCCAATTCACGAACTGACTCATGAATTCAACTACTAAATTACTATAACATCCACAAAACCCCTCTCTGACTAGAAATCTTACATTTTCAATAATACATGATTGGTATACCACTATAAATATAAAAACTAGTTTAACAGAACTTCTTTTCGACAGTTTTACTGGATTATACTCTTAAATAATATGTAAAAAACTTTGCATTCCAAGTGTTTTACATCTAATGTTGCTATAGTACAATAGCATTTGTTTGCCTTTGTTCGTTTAATAATTTACTTTAAAAAAGGAGCATAATTTCCTTCTAAATTATTCATTAAGATTATATCGAAGCAATCCGCACGGGATGCACATATGATAACAAGACTGATCAATTGTAGTCCTAAATAACAATAGGAAGATACAAGTAAAACAACACCACATGAATTTATTCATTAAGAATCTCGAATTTCTCAATCGTCAAAGATAATGATTCTTATTCATGTTTCCATGATTATTCGTTATATAAATCACCCTTTAAAATATAAGAAAAATATTAACCAATGAAATTGTGTTGAGTACTTGATATGTATTGTAGTGAAGGAGAACACAGGTGAGAACAAATGATTATATTAAGTACGAAATTACAGAGTTACTTAATAAAATAGAAAACACATACTCTAATAATTAATTTGTAAAATGTTCATTAATTGTCTCAGACTTTATTGTTCCTGTATTTCCATACCAATCGCTTTCTGTTCCCATTCTTCCCTTCTTGATCTTCTCAATCTTCTGCTGCGAAACATTATATTCCTGACTCGCGTTATGTACTACTTATGTCGATATGAGTAGTACACACCACAGTATTATTGATTGTTTTGAAATAAGCGTATTCATGATTTTACACACTAAAAATTTTTTGTAGTATTCGGTAACAGTTAAAAGGTTGTTTTTTGGAATCAATGAAAGTAAGCCATTTAAGATTATAATGTTTAACCATTGTATTATTAGTCTTAATAAATTAAAATATAGAATATTCTCATTGAACTACTTGATATTTATTTTGTTGATTTAGTTAGAAATTGTTGAATTACTTGTAAATTTCGGTGCAGATATATTAGCTGAAACTAAAAATGGTGAAACAGTATTTGATATATGTGAAGATATTGAAATGCATACACGTCTAATTGAAATTAAACAAGAAGTAGAAAGAAAAAAATCTCAACAACAAGATTTACTTAATAAACCTGGTAAACCACGTGAATTAGTACGTCGACGTAGTAGTACAAATCCAAGAAGGTAAACTGTTTAATAATAATGTATTATCCCGTTTTTTTTCTTCGTTTATTCATAATTAGAAAATGTGTTAATTACATTAACTATCCTTAAAAACTAAAAGACTTATCAGATTTACACATTATTTTATATCGTATCATGAAATGATCGTGAAGATTTATAGATAAATACTATCAAATAGTGTTATTCACTGAGCTAGATGGTTTAACTGCAAATTCTACATTATCATTCTGCAAAATATTACTAGCATCTTCTATCTGAATTAGATGTCTGTTTTCACTGATATCGAGGTAAGTATCAACACATAATTCTTATGATTATTGTAAATAAAGAATTCGAAATTTGTGAATATTTGTAACAAATCACTTTAAGCTTTACATTCATAATGAAGACTATAGAATATAATACATTCAACATTCTACAAGTTGAAATCTCTCCTTTAATAAATTTGATTTATCAGATGTTTTGTGGATATTTTAGCAATTTCAATAGTTGAAACCATGAGTCAATTGAAAATAGACCACCATGGAAAACCTGGAAGCACTGGACGGCCGTTTCGTCCTATTGTGGGGCTCCTCAGCAGTGCTCATCTACGATCCACTCCCCCCACGCGAGATTCGAACCCAGGACAAGTATATCCATCATAATTGTGCTAATTGAAAAAAATTCAAATAGTGTGGAATCCATAAGTAGAAAGAAACAACTTTTTAGTATTCCCTTATTTTCAATGAGTCTCTAACTGTTGATAATCATATTAATAAAACTTATATATATATAAATATTATAACATAAAATTGACCTCAATAACACCAAACAAATTATGAACAGATTATTTTATTTACCGATTATGTCTTTCATGTATACATAAACTATGTATTGATTAACTTAATCGCCTTTAATGATGTATACATTAGTGTATGTTATGAAAATAAGATGCGTTAATGATTTGCTTTCAATAGAATTCAAATGAATCTCATCATGACACAATAGTTATTTTAATGAAAATTATATGTCATAATATTCAACGTTTTCTTTGTAAAATCTACAAAGGTCTATAATGTACTTAATCTAGAAAATTAAAAGTTGACATAACAATTCGTTCTTTTCATCTTGATTCGAAATGAAAGATGGATGATGGGTAGAAGTGAAATCCAGGACGCGCATCTCATCCTATTTAGGACACGTCGGCTGGATGTACAAGCAGATGGCCATCGGGACTCAGTAGCTAAATGGATAGTGCGATTGTGTTTGAAGTGAACGGTACTTCATTCATGTCACGGAGTGAACATTAACTCTGCAATGAAGGTACATTCAGCTGACGAGTCCCAAATAGAACAAAATGCGCGTCCTGCTAGCCACTATCCGTCTTTGCTCACAAAGTTTGTGACATAAAGCAATATCGAGGCAATCCGCACATGGTACACATATGACAACAACAGACTGATCAATTGCAGTACTAAATAACAATGGCAAGATGCAAACAAACGAAACAAGTGAATTCCAAATGATATTGATAGATGAATATATTGTTTGCTGTATTGTAACCAGTGTTATCTAAAATTAACTCATATTATACATTCTAGAATGTTCAGTTCATATTTTTTTAAAGAACTAGAATGTCATAATAATAAATATAAACAGTAAAATATTAATTCAGTTTGAATCTACAATAATTAAGTAATGGAATGAATGTAATTAGTTTTGAGTAGATAGGAAAAGAAATGATTTAACTAAAGATAGTTAGATAATTCAGTGAAAATTTACTTCAATGAAAAATACATCAAATATGACGTAATAATAACAGTTGCTAAAACCTATAAATCTGTACGAAAATAAATTGCCCTCAAATGCCCTGGTACGGCCGAGGGTAGGGAGAGTCAGCTCTCCCTCTAAAAATGATCTCAAATGACCACGTGTATACAGCCACAGCCAGAGAACTCTCACCCACAGCAGGGGTGTTCTTTACGTAATCGAGAAGATGAAAAGCGAATGTCCGGCTATCTAACCGGGTTGGCAGACACGGAGGGTCCACCTAGTGGAGTTGGGAAACCATGATTCCAAACTAATGGCGCACATATGCTCCAGGATCCTGAAGGAATAAATAACGTATGAGCTAATGATTGGTCACTGACCACCATGGAACTGCATCTCCTTACGTTGCTCTACTGCCTCGTGGATTATATCTTTAGGTCAAAGACTCGGAGTGTGGCCACTTTGGTTTAGGCACCCATGCAGTATCCAAGCTCTTACACAAAACAAATGATTTATGTGGCGCATATCTATTTGGTGCCTCCTTGTACCAATGTTTATGTGTTTAAATAAATAAAAAATAAATTACACATAAAATTACCGATTTGTAACGTTTTTTTTAAAATTAGGGTTTTTGAAAATTTGTTTGGGTTGTTTAAGGTTTTGTAAAAAGAACTTTCATTTAGCATATTATGCATATAATTTGAACTAGGAAATTGTTGGTATTCAATAATACCAAAATGTTTAACTTAATCATCCTTTATGTTACCCAGTAATTATAATACTACTCAACAAACCAAAGACTGAAGTCATTTATAACGATCCATAACCTGTAAGTAATCATCAGTCAGTCAGCTACAACGTAGGACCAGCCACATATATTCATCGGTCCAAGTTGCCACACTTCATTAGCACAACAAGATGAACACCGGATTCATAGAAGTATTTAAGTCATTGGTGGTAACATATAAAAGAAAGATTGCATATAAGGACATTGTGCAGGAAGAAAGAATTAGTTCGTAGTGTGTATACACCTTCGCCACTGTGATCGATTCTGAGCCATATCACTCAGAGTCTCCAACCACTGGTTACAATAGTCACGCGGAACCCAACCAAGTAGTCTGCACCTACCAACATGGCTCAGACTAGAAATTAGTGACTTCAAGCACTGATGCCATGTTTTGGTTTGGCCGGCCCTAACTTTCTTCCAACCATCCCCAACACTAGTCAGTATTGCACGTTGTGGTAATCGGTGTTCAGGCATACGTAACATGTGGCCCAACCATCTCAGTCGATGAATATTTACAACCTCATCAACTGATTTACTATCATTCCCTAAAACCCTACGTCTAACCTCTATCATTTACCCGGTGATCCCAGTAGATGCGAGTAACATTTCTAAGGCATCTGTGGTCAAATACAAGTAGCTAACGAATATCTTCCATTCTTAATGACCACGTTTCACAGCCGTAAAATAAAACAGAACGAACTGTTGTGCAGTAAACTCGTCCCTTAATTGTTAGACGGACATTTCGTCTTCGCCATTGGTGACGTAATTTGGTAAAAGCCAAACGATCTTTCTGAATCCGTGCTGAGATTTCATCAGACAGCAACCCATTAGGGCTGATCAGACTTCCAAGATAAGTGAAGTAGTCAACGCGTTCGACTGCTTCACTCTCTATCCTTAGTTCAGGTGTTAACGCAGACCAGTCCTGAAGCAACAACTTGCATTTACAGGGAGAGAAGCACATTCCAAACATTTTGGGCATTGTTGCTCAGTGCTATTAAAAGACTCTGCATTTTCTCAGCATCGTCACCAAACAGGACTATATCGTCTGCGTATTCTAAGTCGATAAGTGGACCTCCTGGAAGGAGATCAATACCCGAGAATTCAGTAGACGAGAATGTTATTTCCATCAATAGGTCTATGATGAAGTTAAACAAAAATGGAGAAAATGGACGGCCTTGACGGACACCACTCGAGGTTGCAAAGTAGATGACAGTTCGCCATAAGCACTCAAGACCACTGTAAGTAATCATTGAACTTTATGACAGAATAGAGAGAAAATGAGATATTTCTTCTGAAAGGAAAATATATATTTCACAACTGAAAATAATCCATACTAAGTTATTATTATATATTTTATATGATTTTATTTTATCTTAAGCGGCATCATACTGATTTATTATTTTTAAATAAATGGTTAGAGATTTATTTTCATTCGATTTTGACCTTATTCGGAGAAATAATGAAAATCGATATTTTAGTTGAGTTTGGAGCTTTCATAACTGTATACACCACAAAATGTAGAACATGAAAATTTTATAAGGAGTGGAAAAACTTTCAATCACTGAGATGGAGTCCATCAACTTCCATTTTTAACTTTCGACATATATATATTTCGGTTATTTTTTGTTGAAGAAATATTTTGGATATACTCTATGTCTTAATTTCATTGCAGTGCATCTATTCGTCGAACAAGTATGAGAGAAAAAAAAATGATCTCTTGGAAAGAAGCTAAACAAGAGGCTGAAATGCGTGGTGTAGCTACAGCATCATCAGATGAAAAGAATACATCAAAACCTTTAAGTCCTATACCCAATGGATCTACAGATCATATTCTTCAAAAATCTACAACCTATCCAGAATCCCATGAACTTACTAGTCCAAAAACTATTCGTGGTTCCACACGTAGTTCACATCCCGGTCATTCCTCAAAATCTTCAATCCCACCAACATCGTCTCCAATTTTAGCTGGTGTAGTAACGCATCATGGTAGCTCTTGGTCGGGCAAAGTACAACAAAACGACACTGTTACTGAAGTTAACGGTCCTACTCCATCACCTAATCTTCGTAATTCATCCAGAATGAAAGATAAAGAGGTTTGTTATTACGTTTCGTCATAAAGCAGCTCTACTTTTAGTGAACATTCATGTATGCATAGAATCAGTGTTTTTCAGGCAAAATAAGTTGACAGATGAAATCATAGAACAATGTATTTGAAACATCGCCGAGTGATTCTCCGTATAGAAACCAATTTTTTCAAAGGTTTCTTTCAGAACTGTAGACTTATTGAACACCAGGTGTTTACTTATCAATCACTGACGACTTACCAATCAGTTCTTAACGTTTATATATGTTTGGTACAACCAGTAGGGTTTCTCATATGTACTCCGTCTGACTGTGAGTTAATCACATATTTTACATTATCAAGCTTATTATATATTACCAAAGAAAATATGTATAATTCTCAATGGTATACAGATTTAAAGCCCAATGTTCTAATAATATATTTCGATTTAGTCACTAAAATCATCATCAGTTAGATAACTATACCATATGACTTTGGCTATCTATTTAAACTACTAATATCATGTTCTAATCAATTAGCGATATATTCGGCTAGAATGATATCAGAACAGCGTCAAACATATGATATATTGGTATAAGTCACTATACCCTCTATAGTATGTAAATTCATCTCCTTGATAAATCATAACTAGTACTCTAATAGCTACCCAGTTGTGTGAACTTCCCGAATATCACGAACGGTTTATCAAAAAGGATCTTACCAAGCGCAGACTCTTAACAGTCTTAAAGAAGTATCTTACTCCATCAACTTCAAGTTTATAAATCACTTTATAAAACCATTCGAAAAATTGGTTATTGTAATAAACTAGAAGCATAAAAAGAAAATTACTCTCAACTTTAAGCTTATCTCACTATCTATTAATTATTCACTTAAAATCAATTAATTACTTACTTACTTACACCTGTTACTCTTAATGGAGCATAGGCCTCCGACCAGCATTCTCCAACCCACTCTGTCCTGGGCCTTCTTTTCTAGTTCCATCCAATTCTTGTTCATTTTTTTCATGTCTATTTCCATTTCTCGGCGTAATGTGTTCTTTGGTCTTCCTCTCCTCTTTTGGCCTTGAGGATTCCATGTGAGGGCTTGTCTTGTGACGCAGTTGGGTGCTTTCCTCAATGTGTGTCCTATCCACTTCCAGCGCTTCTTCCTGATTTCTTCCTCCGCTGGGATCTGGTTTGTTCTCTCCCACAGTACGTTGTTGCTAATAGTGTCCGGCCAACGGATCTGAAGTATTTTGCGTAGACAACTGTTAATAAACACCTGTATTTTCTGGATGATGGCTTTCGTAGTTCTCCAGGTTTCTGCCCCATACAGTAGAACTGTCTTGACATTTGTATTGAAAATCCTGACCTTGGTGTTGGTTGACAGTTGCTTTGAGTTCCAGATGTTCCTCAGTTGTAAATATGCTGCTCTTGCTTTGCCGATCCGCGCCTTCACATCTGCATCAGATCCACCCTGTTCATCAATGATGCTGCCCAAATATGTAAAGGTTTTTACATCTTCCAAATCTTCTCCGTCAATTGTGATTGGATTGGTGCATTCTGTGTTGTATCGGAGAATCCTGCTTTTCCCTTTGTGTATATTGAGACCTACTGCTGCTGAGGCTGCTGCCACACTGGTCGTCTTCTCCTGCATCTGTTGTTGCGTTTGGGATAGAAGGGCCAGATCATCTGCGAAGTCTAGATCATCCAACTGCATCCTAGATGTCCATTGTATCCCGTGCTTCCCTTCAGACGTTGACGTCTTCATGATCCAGTCGATCACCAGGAGAAAGAGAAAGGGTGAGAGTAAGCAACCTTGCCTGACACCGGTCTTTACTTCGAACGACTTTGTCAACTGTCCTCCATGCACGATTTTGCAGTGTAATCCATCATATGAATTCTGTATGATATTGACTATCTTCTGAGGCACGCCGTAGTGTCGAAGAAGTTTCCATAGTGTTGTTCTGTCCACGCTATCAAATGCCTTTTCGTAGTCAATGAAGTTGATGTAGAGTGATGAATTCCATTCAATTGATTGTTCCACAATGATCCGTAGAGTTGCGATTTGGTCTGTACACGATCTATCCTTACGGAATCCTGCCTGTTGGTCACGAAGTTGGGCGTCTACGCAGTCCTTCATCCTGTTTAACAATACCCTGTTGAAGACTTTTCCCGGTATTGAGAGAAGAGTGATGCCCCTGTAGTTATCACAGTTGCTGAGATCGCCTTTCTTCGGTATTTTGATCAGAAGTCCTTCTTTCCAGTCTTTTGGTACTTGTTCCTCATCCCAAATCTTATTGAAGAGAATGTGGAGTATCCTTGCAGTTGCCGCTACGTCTGCTTTTAGTGCCTCTGCTGGATGTTGTCCGGTCCTGCTGCTTTGCCACTCTTGATTTGTCTGATGGCCATGCTGATTTCTTCAATTGTTGGTGGGCCAACATTGATTGGGAGGTCCGTGGGTGCTGCTTCGATGTTGGGTGGGTTCAGTGGAGCTGGTCGATTCAAGAGTTCTTTGAAGTGTTCTACCCACCTGTTTTGTTGCTCTTCAATGTTGGTGATTACCTCGCCTTCCTTGCTTTTCACTGGTCGTTCTGGTTTGCGGCGATTTCCAGAGAGTTTCTTTGTCGTGTCATACAGTTGTCTCATGTTTCCTTCTCTTGCAGCCTTTTCCGCCGTCGTTGCTAAATCTTCCACATATTTACGTTTGTCGGTTCTGATGCTCCTCTTCACTTGTTTGTTTACTTCTGTGTATTCAGCTTGTGCCTTGGCTTTTTCTGCTCTTGTTCGGCTGGTATTGATTGCTGCCTTCTTGTTCCTCCTTTCTTGAATCTTATCCAGTGTATCAACAGTGATCCATTCCTTGTGGTGGTGCTTCTTGTGACCCAGGACCTCATGACATGTTGAAGTGATTGCCTCTTTGATCCCCTTCCAGTTGCTCTCCACAGTAGTTCCTTCTCCATTGAGTAGATCATGAAAGGCCTGGAACTTGTTGCTGAGGACTATCTTGAATTTGTTGAGTTTGTTAGTATCCTGAAGAAAGGCCGTGATATTGTCCGCCCCATTGTCCAGTGCTTCTTGAGTTTCAATTTCATCTTGGCGACCAGCAAGTGATGATCTGATGCTATATCAGCTCCTCTCTTGGTTCTCACGTCTTCCGTCGTCCTCCTGAACGTTTTGTTGATGCAAATATGGTCGATTTGGTTTTGATCCGGTGAAGTCCATGTGGTTTTGTGTATGCGTTTATGTGGGAATATGGTGCCGCCTATGACCAGTTTATTGAAGGCACATAGGTTTGCAAATCTCTCACCATTTTCGTTCTTTCTCCCAGTCCGTGTCGTCCCATGATGTCTTCATATCCAGTGTTGTCCGTTCCAACCTTGGCGTTGAAATCTCCCATCAGAATGGTCAGGTCCTTTGTTGGGCACTTCTCGACGATTGACTGCAGCCTATTGTAGAATTGATCTTTAGCGTCTTCATTGTAGTCGTTGGTAGGCGCATAGCATTGGATGATGTTCATTGAAATCCCCTCTTTCTTTGTTTTGAAGGAGGCTTTGATGATCCTTGGTCCATGAGATTCCCATCCTATAAGTGCATTTTGTGCTTGTTTGGACAGCATCAATGCAACTCCTTGTGTATGTGGGGCATTTTCTTCTTCATGGCCGGAGTATAACAGAAGCTCTCCTGAAGTTAGTCGTTGTTGTCCAACTTGCGTCCAATGTGTTTCACTGATCCCAAGTACCTCTAGGTTGTATCTTCTCATTTCTGCAGCAATTTGGAAGGCTCTCCGGTGTCCCACATTGTACGAACATTCCATGTACCTAAATAAATGGTTGCTCTGGTTGTCAGAAGGGGCATCGGCCTCGTAACTTCCGAAGGAATTCGGCTTTCATCATGAGGCGTCATAGTTCTTCTAAATGAAGACCTTCTGACTCCCAGGGCAGAGTTTAAAAGGTTTGAATAATTTTTTCTGGTTAGCGTTTTTTTAGCGAGTTAGTTTTCTACGGGATGAGGACGCTAACCGCATGCCCGACCCTCCTCCTTTATCCGGGCTTGGGACCGGCAGTAGCCCCCGGAGGGACTCCAGGCGCAGTTACTTAAAATCAATAGACATCATTATTCCTGCATTCATCACACTCTTGTCTTTCTTCAATTTTCAAATTGATCGCCTTTTTTTAACCATTCTCATTATTTCTTGCAATTGTTACTTTTTCCATTTCAGGATGTGTTGATCTAAGCTTGCTTATTTCTTTATGTAAAAAACCAAACATCACTTTTTAAAAATTATTATATCATTTAATAGTTGAATCCATAGGTCTATTTAAGCTAGACTACCTTAAAATCATTGGATGGTTGTTTCGTCCCAGTATGGAACTCCTCGGCAGTGCGCATCCACGGTTCGAACCCTGGGCCACCGGCCTCGCGCTTAATTTATATACCACTGAGCCGGTATCCAACGGTGTTAATGTCTAATGTCCACTGTATTGCACGAACGTCCACCGTTGCCTTCAGTAAGTAATTGCTTCATAACAGACACGGTTGAACTCCACTAGTCACGGCTATTCACTAGAACTCCAGGAAGCACATCTTGTAGTCAGTCACTAGTGAGTATATAGTGATTATTATCAGAATGACGGTTTGTGAAAATATTCAGAGTGGTCTAGCTTAAATCAACTTATGAGTTCAATTATTAAATTACTACAATTTTCACAAACCCTCATTCTGATAATATATTATTTATCAACTTGTTGTAACCGATTAATTCATTAGTTCACTTGTTATAACCGTTATTAATAATCATTATTTAATTTGTTAGTTATAAAATGAAGTTAATTACTCTTATGAATTTATTTTTCGGTAATAATCTACCGGCAAAGAATATTTTTATGTTTTCTAATATGTTAAGAATTTACTGATTAATAAAACCAATAAATAGATAAGATTATAAATCGCGTATATATGAAATTGTAATTTATTTAAACAATTACAATTACATTTTGTCAATCATAACAATTTAGTTAATAGTTATTGATTTTAGACGAATGAATTAGTGAGATTTTCGACTACGCTTTCTCATAAATCAATTCAAACAAAGTAAATGCAGAAAGGATTGAAACACTGAACAGTTATCTTTTTTTTATATCTTATAACACTTTAAAAAGTTTCATATTAGTACATATTCTCTCTTAATTCTTAACGATTCCAAGACGTAAAACTTAAAAAAGGAACACTGTTTTCTGACCCACTGATTGATGTTTTAAAAGGAATATAAATCTAAACAAAGATGTTAAGTAAGAATTCATTCGTTATAAAATCCTTTTCGGTTTCAGTGAACATCAGTGCCCTCTATATAAGTATTTATATTTGGTCTTACAATCAATGTCCTTTTTTACTGCAATACTAGACAGCGTAGTATATTATATTATTATTATATACACGTAAGTAGTATAGAACGGTCAGACATAGAATGTATTTCAAAAGAAGATCGAGAAGGAAAGAACAGGAACGAAATGCATTTGGTATGAAAATGAATGAACAATGAAATCTGAGACAATAGACTGATATTTGCAAAAGTGACAGTCAAATTTGAGACGATGGATTGATATTTTGCAAATTCACTATTAACTATATTGAGATGATCTGTAATTCTGTGCTCAAATACATTCGATTGTCCCCACTCGTGTTCTTGTTCACTATAGAATTAATAGTCATTAACTTTCGCTTGAGACTCCTGTTTATGAATAACATTGAAAATAAAACAACTGTCCAATAATTCATTCATTATTTTATTTTGTGTTACAATAACTCACTATATATAGTTTTTCATTCGTATACTGTAATCTGAATACATACCATCGTTCTTCGTTGTTTTCCTTTTATATTTAATTTATAATTAACATGATAAACCTGCCTTTTTACTACTGTTCTTTTGTCGATTATTTTCTTTAGGTCAACCCATCCAAGCGCAACAACCCACAGTCTACACTAAATAACGACTCTGGTCCAATAGGTGTTGTCAGTCCATCTCCTGTTGCACCTCATCGTACAGGCCATGATAAAGAAGTAAGTTGATACTCTAATAAATAGCTTACATAGTAAATAGTTTGAAAGCTTCTTCATTCAGCTTACTTGTATCCAATGCTATTTATATTCTGATAAGTCTTCATGAAGATTAATTACTTAAATATTGTTGATCCATTTATGAGATCACAACCCAACCTAAGTTAGACAATCATTAAGAACCAGGAAGCACTAGACAGATGTTTTGTTCTAGTATAGAACTTCTCAGCATTGAGCAATCATGACACGACTGGAGATCGAACCTAGGACATCTAGGTCTCGTGACCAACGTCTAACCTTTTGACTGTTGAGTCAGTATCCAACGGTAAATATGTCTAACCTTAATTGATTCACAATTAATCTACTGTTGCTGTCAAAACTGAAATTTATCAATATTCAAACCTGTGAAGCATTGGTTAGAAGCCAAATGCTTTAACTATCAAGCTATCCCTGAAATGTTACATCAATGATAAGATATTATTTTCAGTAATAAATATAAATTACCTATATTAAGAAAGTTACAGATTTGTTTAAATTACACGAACTATAGAAAATTTGTTTTGAACTAGATAACAAATATAATTTACATAAAAATTAAAAGATCTTAGATTATAAAGCATTCACTTACTGTCTGTATAGTTAACATACAAAAGAATAACATCTACCAATTATGGTATCAGCTGAACGGCATAGACATGCTACTACTTCTACTATACTGGGATTTTTCTTGATAATTTTATCTCGCTGTACCAATATAGTATGGCAGTATGATGAGACAACACACGTATCCTTCAGATTCTACACGTTCCATATAACTGGATGATTTATCTGATTTATATACTGGTAATTAATACAAGGTTTCTTTTGAAACTATTTTGTTATAAAAAATATGGTCAGTGTTTACCTTTGTGTACACATCAGAAAATGTAGAAATTAAAACTACCTTTCTGGTAGAAATCTTCTCTTCCTTAAAATTTATGTAATCTAGCTCATTTACTAAATTCGTAGTCACGTTTGACTCTGAGTCGAACTTTGTGTGAGTCAATAATATCATCTAGTTGTTTGAGCTAAATTAGTAGAGTTGACGTTGGAACTTAAGATCGACTTATTGGAAAGTGAACTAACGGTACAAAACTTGATATCTTTTTTAGTATCTTTTGTATATTTCATAGACATAATTAATGGATTTATCGTTTCGACTAGGAAGTGGTTAAGTGAGATTATTTCGCCAAAAAACTCTTATTTTACACATTTTACAAATGAAAAGAGATAAAACCAAAAGAGATTATCTTTTGTTTCTTTTCTCTTTCAGAGAATTGTCAGAGTTCCGTCGGGTCCTGTACAAAATCCTGAAAATGTCGGCACATTGACACGACGACCTCAACAGACAGAATACGGAAGTAAATCTCCACCAATCAGCTCACCCGACCTATCACCTCAACATCATACTCTAAGTCCTCAACTACGTCAGTCAAAAAGTCGAACAATATCTGGCGTTGAAGGGTTAGCTAATCCAGATCAGTCTGGCACTCACCTTAAGGCTCGAGTAAGTAGCCATGATAATGCATACGCATCTTCTCTTCCTCGACGCGATAACAATAACCAGACGACTGATTTAAACAATCAACCGGTTCGTGGAGAAAGACGTTCCTCCACGAGGAAGAAAAAACCAATATTATCAGAGCAAAAGCCATCAAGAAATGACAATAGAGAAACTGGTATTTCAGTACATAATGCATATTGTGCACTGCCGTCTAATAATCCGTTTCAAAACAATCAACTTCGTAATGAAGAAAATCATCCTGACAGCCAAAATATTATTCTACGTTCTCCAAACATCAATCGCAATGATGTTAAACAAACAACTAGAAGTAGAATTACTTCAGGTCAACAAAGTAGTTCAGGACAAGTTGTACATGCTACAGCATCTCTACCAAGAAGGGAGTTAATCAATTATGGAGATGATTTAGGCTCCAGACCGAGTGGTAAATGTTGTGTAATAATGTAATCAAACAATACTTGATCATAACCATTCTTTTCATTTTAAATTTATTATACATTGTCTATTTTACAATCACGAACCTTTCCATATATACATATGTAATCCTGTAACAACAAAAAAATCAGAGTTCGCTAACTCAGTGATATATGCAAACAAAGCGTCTGACCTATCTCATATTATCATAATCTTACTGAAACCATCAAAATATTGTACATATCTATTCAAATTCCATTTTTCCTCCTCTTTGTTTTTGCTTGATTCTCTTTTTACCAGTTTTTTTTTCCTTATCTATACAGTTAGCAATTGAATGAAATAAAAAAACAAACAGTAAACAGATTACTTCATCACGTCCAAGTTTGATGTTTTCACAGTCTTAACTTACCAAATCAAAATAGTATTTTCTAAGTTAAATGATTTTAATTTTGTTCATGAATTTATTTATTTATTTTCAGTTACTTTTTTTTAAAAAATTAGAAAATGAAAAAACATTACTGTGTTTACTGAATTCAACAAAATGTCATGTCCATGTAATTATATATATGAATGATTGATTTTGGCCACAATACCCTTTTATACATGGTTGTTTAGTGATATCCAGAGTATTATCTGATAAAATTTTATGTAATGTATAAGAAAAGCAACAAATTGATTAGGTTATCTATTTGTTTGTTGTTTTTTTTTAAGTCCGATAAACTTATTTTTATTTTCTCGTACTTGGAACACTGTCTACCTTTAAACATCATAGCATATTTGCTTCATTGTCTTTTTCTACTTCCACGAATACGACTATACTTCATAATAGTTAATAGACATTGAATTATTAAGATGAGACATTATATTCAGTAATTATTAAGTACGTATATAAAAGTCGACTAGATCTAAGTATTTTGGAGTGTAATAATCGACAATATAAAAGAAAATATTACCACAGAAAGACATATATTAGTTAGCTGATATCCCCCTGCCTTTAGCCAAAGGCAAAACAACTCGTCAATCCGCTATACACAATTACAATTAATTGTCTTTGGAAGAAGAATTAATTATGTACATTCTGATTAACTAGTGTCTTACTTTATCTGCTGCGTCAATATTAGGGTTTATTGATGGTTGTTTTTTTTTACCGACAAGCATATGGACAATTTTCAATAAATTTTAACTTGATCACAAAGCACAGTTAAATTATTTTACAGTAATTCACTGACTATTTGACAATAGAACAATAAATTCCACATATAGTAGTTCTCACAAAAACAAAATACTTAAACTGTAATTGTCAAATATCTCGATAAAATTGTTACTTTAATTCTACATCAGTAGTTTCCATATATTAGCTTTTCTTAATCATCCATATCCAGATCAAAATACGACGTCTCAATATAATTTACATATAGTGAAATTAATACTTTTCATCACAAGTACAACAATTGACTGAATAAATGAGAATACATAAATCTGAAAATAGAAGTGATAGTTTTTTTTCTTGAATAACCATTAGAACTGTAACTTTAAACCTTGAATTCGTTATACTAAAACCATATATATACATGAAATCAATCAATGAATCGTATTTTACTCACGATGCCTGCTTATATATCTGGGCTACCTGTTCCAGATATCCCAACACGTTATCTGTCTTTGTTTGTTTTGATACATCATTATATCAATTAACTGTATAACAGTATTGACTATGGTTATTGACTAAGTGAAGCTACTCAATGTTTTTATTGGACATTAAGGAAAAGGTGTTTCAGATTATAGTGACTTTGAAGGTTCTTTTAAGACTTGATGACGTACCATCCTATTAATTATCGATGTACCATTCATATTGATTAGTCTTCAACATAAATATTTACAATTATGAGGAAACAATATTTGTTAAACAGAAGGCTAGTCCATATGAAAACGTCCAATCGTAATAACACAAGATGATGGGAATTCCAATCTTACGAAATGATCAGTTGTTTCGAAATGCTTTGTAGCGATTGGATCATAGTACCACAAAATTTTCTTGATGGTCTTCCTCCCATTTAAACATTCCAACAAGTTATCTGTTTCTTTAATTTGTTTTAAAGCATTATTATGTCTATTAATCGCAAAACCTAATCAGGTGCGTTTATGAAAAGTTTACAAAATATCACCGTACAAGTTACAAAAAAGTACAAACAGAGTCATCGTAGTGGCTGGCAAGATGTATTGAGAAAAAACGAATACTATTCAGATGTCGATCCCCCTAACTTCTAACATCTAACTGACGATCACTCAATATTTATCGTAAGGATCAATTAAAAAAATAAGAAAAAAGGGTTTGTTGAAATACTTTGTGTTGAGACTTCTATATTGTCACAGATTGAAATCATGAGTCAGTTGAAGCTAGACCACCACAGAAAACCTAGAAGCACTGGACAGCCGTTTTGTCCTATTATGGGACTCCTCAGCAGTGCGCATCCAAATTAACAAAAACTATAACAGTATTGAAAATAATTTCCATATGAATTAAACAAACCACAAACGATAATATTTATAGAATATGATAACTTCATTGTATTTTTTTTTGTTTTCTCTTCACTTAAATACAAGCTAATATGTTTAGTTAACTTCTAATTGATAATATAATATTAACAATTAATTGTCAATCAAAATAAGTTGGGTGTAATGGTGTGAAAGAATTTCAGAATTAAAGTATTACAAAGGGTAGTCATTTTGTAATAGGTTGAGGCCAACTCATTAAATTATGATGAATTCACTTAGTTAAATAAAGGGGTAATAATGTCATTAAAGTTGTTAAGGGTTAACTACTGACTTTTGAATACAAAAATCAGACTTAGGTCTTCTAACTGTTACGGCTTCTGTGAATTTAAGAAATGTTGAATCGAATTATTTATTGAACAGTAATTCATCAAGTCCATATTGTGCCCAGTATCTAGTAAATAGCGTGCTAATGAACTCTACAAGCATCTTTCTCACAGAAGGCGTAGATTTTTGGGATTTACTATTCGGTTGAGATCCAGGCGATTATTGTAACCAAAATAAATTAATATATTTGTAATATCCCAATGAGTAGAAAAATTAAATTTCCTGACGTTTCGTAACTCAGTGTACGGCACTTCCAAAAAATAACCAAGTCAAAATTAATCCGAGTTTAAATAGTACAACAGAACATCACAAGAATATTATGTATTCAGACCTGTTTTTGATTGGTCACATAATATTCTTGTGTTGTTCCATTGTACTATTTAAACTCGGATTAATTTTGATTTGGTTATTATATCTCTGAAGTGGCGAAACGTCGAAAAATTTAATTTTCCTACTCATTACAAGTATAGGAATTTATTTATAACAATCTACCCGATACTCAATTTATTCGTAATCATCAAGTCAAACCTTGGTAATGATACCTATTGTAACCAAAAGTTGGAAATGCTGGAGTTAATGGCCTAGAAGAGCTAGAAATAGCGTAGTTACATTCATTAATTTGTATCTTCCAAAATTATTTTCTGATTTTTTTCATGAATTCTACCATTCCACTAAAATAATAATGTCTACGCTTAGTGTTTTCTGCTACCATACATACGATTACTACCACTCTGGGATTTTTCTTCATAAATTTATCTTTCTGTGCTAATATGATGCGGTAGCTTAAGCATATGTATCAAGTTTTTTCGTTGCTTATGATTGACTATTAAATAAACAAACGCTTCATAAATGTTATTTTACCAAATAAGTGAATACACGAAATAAATAAGGTTTACAGTTACGAATTGTTACCATAGTTTGAATTTCATACAGTATACAATCATCAATAAAAATACCAGAAACACAATTACAAAAGACAAAAAAAGAGAGAAGGAAACACAAAACTGAACATTTCACAAACAATCAATTTTTCCATATTTTCATTTCGCTATATTCTTTACAAGAATTTTACTGAACAATCAAATCGTAACAATAATTTCATATCTTTTTTTAAATTCAGATTTTATTTTGTACAGTTTGTTTAAGGGAGATAGAAAGAAAGAGAAGATAAAAAGAGATAAATACGGTTACAAAGTGTATTCATTTATTATTCGTCCGTATTTTTACGAATTGTTTCATGTACAGCACTGATTAAAATTTCCAATTCTTCTTCTGTTTGCGGTTCACGAGATGATGTATCAGCGCCAGAACCTTTCATTTTCAATATAAAAATATGAAATTAATTATTAAAGTATAGAATTGTTAATATACTGATGATTTTAATGTCATTTTCACAAGTAAACTATCAAATTATATTCAGTTGAAATGGAGATAATAATTCCACAATACCTGATAGTAGCCTCCTTATTGCTAACTTGATAAAAATGGAAGATTTAGAGTAAAACTGACAATACAAAAGTCAAATATTGTGAAAAGTATCGAAAATTAACTAATATATCACATAGGGGTTGTGGAGATTATTAAGTTTTTGACTGAGATCATGAACCGATTGATGTTAAGACCACCATTGAAAACCTGGAAGTACAGGGTTCGAATACCGCGAACGGGATCGTGGACGCGCACTGCTAAGGAGTCCCACAATAGGACGGAACGGCCGTCCAGTGCTCACAGGTTTTCAATAGTGGTTCAACATCAATCGGTTCATGACCTTAATCAAAAACTTAATAATCTCCACAACCCCTATACTGATAATTATCATGTGCTCACTAGTGATTAGCTTCGTGAGGGAATTCTCGAAGTTCTAGTGAGAAGCCGTGACCAGTGGAGCTAATCCGTGTCGGGTAGAGACAGATATCTACCTCAGTAAAATGGATGATGGTCGCGCAATTTCGTGAATTGGTTGAGGTTAGACATTAGAACCACTGGATGCCAGCTCAGTAGTCCAGTAGGTTAAGCGTCCGCGCGCGAGGCTGAAGGCTCTGGGTTCGAATCCCGCGAGCGGGATCGTGGATGCGCACTGCTAAGGAGTCCCACAATAGGACGGAACGGCCGTCCAGTGCTCACAGGTTTTCAATAGTGGTTCAACATCAATCGGTTCATGATCTCAATCAAAAACTTAATATATCACATTTTATAATAAGTAAATAGTTCATTTTATCATGAAAACTAAACTGAAGGTGAATATTTATTATTCTTTTAAATAAACAACTGATAACTGATAAACACCGTAAACATATTACAATTTTGTTTTGAATAAAACGTTTTTTGCATAACTAAGAATAATTTTCAATAAGAATATGAAAATCCTCAAAAGTTTATCAAATGACATGGTGTCTAATTGAGATGATAAACAGTTTCAAGGGTGAAACAGAATATTTTTTTAGGTCTATCAAATAAAATACTCGATCTATTGTAAGCGTGATATTAATTTAACTTATAAATACTAAAAAGTATAATTAAATCATTCTCAATTCTTAATGTCCGTAATGGCCATGAAAAATATCAAAAGGTACCCGTGAATATAACAATGCTGAGAAACAATCAATTTAGAAATCAACATTTTAGTTCATTGGTCAATGAGATAGAAACTATCCTACTTTAGATTTATCTTGTAAAATGATAAGAATAACATTCTTGGACAATTTACACTGTTACTGAAGTAATCAGCAATAACCATTTAATTATTTTCTGATGGCAAGTTGTTTACAGATGTATGTAAACTACGTAATATATTAATCTTTCGTTGC